ATAAAATCTCCTCCTTTCTCCATCTTTTAGTCTTTAGTTTGTCTTTTACTTGTAATCACTATCCATTATATGTTTTACACGTTTTTGCGAAGCTAGCTCCAAGTCTGAAATGTTTGGTTTTTATCTCAATAATATTATGTTCTGAAAAAGAGCAAGAACAAACATTCTAGCAGAATAGCATGAATTCATTTTTATTTCGTTGGTTCTCGTCAGCTGCTTACAACCTGTGATATTTAAAATCATAATTAATGGGTTTAAATTACTTACATAAAAGAGTTTGATTGGAAGTTATATTAAAGACATATTCATATAGTATAGCAAGGGTGTAAATAAATTTAATAGACTGAATATTGTAAATATATACCTTATGTGATGAAAGAACATTGTGATAACAGTTCAAACGGTTAGAAACAAATAAACTTTGATAGGAATAAAATGAGTAGAGTTCAGTTGATAAAATAATGGTGTAATAAATGCAAGAAAGAGTTCAAAGAAAAAGAAAAAAATTACTAAGATATAACGAAGGAATATTAATCACCAAGGCAAGGAAAGATTAATAACGATCTCCTTTTGAACACATAAATCAGGCTTTTGGCGCCTGATAGCAACTGCTTCAGCAAACTTCAGAAGAATGGAGTTTGGCTGCTTACTAATCGCCTTGAATGATTGTAGGGTATCGACCTGATGTCCTGTATCAAGAAGATGTTTGGTGATTGCACTATTTAGAGTCTTTCTTTCTCTTGTTCTGAGGCTTTTTGGAACATGTTCAAAAAATCTGAGATATGCCCTCCTTTCTGTTCGGCCAATGTAGCTGCTTTGGCAGGTACACGTAAATTTATAAATACAATTGGCGGTAACATGAAAAGGATGCTTATCAACTTTTGATTGAGTTATTGAGCATGTTGTTTTATACAGAATTTGAAGTTTGGCTGCCGGATAAGTTCTGGCTAGCGCAGTATTCAGTCTCCTGTTGATTGTGTTCGCAACCTCGTCACCTTTGAAGTTAAGACTTATAGTTATTGGTTTTTTATTGACAGTAATTACTTCAGTATTGTTTTCTTTACGCTTCTTATACTTGTCAATAAACTTTTGTGGGTAAAAGTTGTCTCGCAGGCATTTTTCCACTTTCATCAATTCTTCTTCGATTTTATCAGTGGTACATATCTTTTCTGCCCTATAAAATAGTGTTTTAACTAATGCCTTCTTGTAACTGAGTGGACAAAAGCTATTGAAATTCAGGTAAATGCCATTCCAAGTACTTTTTCGATAAATCGAACGTTGGACTGTCCCGTCTCTCCTACGTTTTATAGCAACATCAAGAAAGTGGAACATGTCATTCTGTTCGTGTTCCATAGTAAATTGTATGTTAGGATGAGCGTTATTGAAGTGTTTTAGCATGCGGATTGCATGCTGTTTATTGTTACAGACAATAAACGTGTCATCAACGTATCTGGAATATTCCGTCGTTTCGCTAATCGTCTGTTTAAGCACCATGTTTTCAAGATACCCCATAAAAATATCTGCCAGAATTGGATCTAGTGGGCTTCCCATTGCTACGCCGTCGATCTGACGATATATGATGTTATTAAACTGGAATTGAACGTCTGTTGTGCACATTAATAGTAGTTTTTTGAATTCCGGGGCTGGTAAAGGTAGGAGATCATAATTCTGACAAATTATATCAATAGTTTCAAGAACTGGTATATTGGTGAACAAGGATGTTACATCAAAAGAAACCATGAACTTACCGGCAACATTCGTACGATTTAGTCTATCAGCAAACTGGAATGAATCTTTTAACGTATATGTTGCTAATCTTCGACGAACCGGTTCTAGTTTTTCTGCTAGCCAGCGTGCAACTTTGTGATACGGTGAGTTTATCATTGATAGAATAGGTCTAAGGGGAACGTCGTGCTTGTGAACTTTTGGTAAACCATACATATGAGGCAGACGTGACCCACGTGGTTTTAGATCATTATAAGTAGAATTACCTATCATTTTCCTTTGTAGAAGTTCTCTAAGCATGCCTTTGATTCGTTTTTCTGTTGAATCAGTTAAATCTTTTTGGGATATATCTACCTTGAATCTCAGTTGATCGTCAAGGATTTGCTTCATCTTAGTGACATAATCAGCTGTATTCATTAGGACGACTCCTGAACCTTTATCCGGTCGTAAAATCATCACCTCATTGTTTTGTTTGGTGTTTCTAAGGGCTGTCAGATGTTCTCTGGATAGAAGGTTAGACTTTGGTGTCGATGACACGAAGTATTGGTTTGCAATATCAACTAACTTTGATTTGAACCATCCTTTCTTTTCCTCATTCATTGGCAGAAGCCTTATCACTGGGACTAAAATTTCATATACCAAAAACAAATACTGACAGGATCGATACAGAAGCTCAATTCGAAAGTCTGTTTGACCAGTTAAAGGATTTGCAGCCAATGAATGAGGAAAAGAAAGGATGATTATGTCACTAAGATGAAGCAAATCCTTGACGATCAACTGAGATTCAAGATAGATATATCCCAAAAAGATTTAACTGATTCAACAGAAAAACGAATCAAAGGCATGCTTAGAGAACTTCTAAAAAGGAAAATGATAGGTAATTCTACTTATAATGATCTAAAACCACGTGGGTCACGTCTGCCTCATATGTATGGTTTACCAAAAGTTCACAAGCACGACGTTCCCCTTAGACCTATTCTATCAATGATAAACTCACCGTATCACAAAGTTGCACGCTGGCTAGCAGAAAAACTAGAACCGGTTCGTCGAAGACTAGCAACATATACGTTAAAAGATTCATTCCAGTTTGCTGATAGACTAAATCGTACGAATGTTGCCGGTAAGTTCATGGTTTCTTTTGATGTAACATCCTTGTTCACCAATATACCAGTTCTTGAAACTATTGATATAATTTGTCAGAATTATGATCTCCTACCTTTACCAGCCCCGGAATTCAAAAAACTACTATTAATGTGCACAACAGACGTTCAATTCCAGTTTAATAACATCATATATCGTCAGATCGACGGCGTAGCAATGGGAAGCCCACTAGATCCAATTCTGGCAGATATTTTTATGGGGTATCTTGAAAACATGGTGCTTAAACAGACGATTAGCGAAACGACGGAATATTCCAGATACGTTGATGACACGTTTATTGTCTGTAACAATAAACAGCATGCAATCCGCATGCTAAAACACTTCAATAACGCTCATCCTAACATACAATTTACTATGGAACACGAACAGAATGACATGTTCCACTTTCTTGATGTTGCTATAAAACGTAGGAGAGACGGGACAGTCCAACGTTCGATTTATCGAAAAAGTACTTGGAATGGCATTTACCTGAATTTCAATAGCTTTTGTCCACTCAGTTACAAGAAGGCATTAGTTAAAACACTATTTTATAGGGCAGAAAAGATATGTACCACTGACAAAATCGAAGAAGAATTGATGAAAGTGGAAAAATGCCTGCGAGACAACTTTTACCCACAAAAGTTTATTGACAAGTATAAGAAGCGTAAAGAAAACAATACTGAAGTAATTACTGTCAATAAAAAACCAATAACTATAAGTCTTAACTTCAAAGGTGACGAGGTTGCGAACACAATCAACAGGAGACTGAATACTGCGCTAGCCAGAACTTATCCGGCAGCCAAACTTCAAATTCTGTATAAAACAACATGCTCAATAACTCAATCAAAAGTTGATAAGCATCCTTTTCATGTTACCGCCAATTGTATTTATAAATTTACGTGTACCTGCCAAAGCAGCTACATTGGCCGAACAGAAAGGAGGGCATATCTCAGATTTTTTGAACATGTTCCAAAAAGCCTCAGAACAAGAGAAAGAAAGACTCTAAATAGTGCAATCACCAAACATCTTCTTGATACAGGACATCAGGTCGATACCCTACAATCATTCAAGGCGATTAGTAAGCAGCCAAACTCCATTCTTCTGAAGTTTGCTGAAGCAGTTGCTATCAGGCGCCAAAAGCCTGATTTATGTGTTCAAAAGGAGATCGTTATTAATCTTTCCTTGCCTTGGTGATTAATATTCCTTCGTTATATCTTAGTAATTTTTTTCTTTTTCTTTGAACTCTTTCTTGCATTTATTACACCATTATTTTATCAACTGAACTCTACTCATTTTATTCCTATCAAAGTTTATTTGTTTCTAACCGTTTGAACTGTTATCACAATGTTCTTTCATCACATAAGGTATATATTTACAATATTCAGTCTATTAAATTTATTTACACCCTTGCTATACTATATGAATATGTCTTTAATATAACTTCCAATCAAACTCTTTTATGTAAGTAATTTAAACCCATTAATTATGATTTTAAATATCACAGGTTGTAAGCAGCTGACGAGAACCAACGAAATAAAAATGAATTCATGCTATTCTGCTAGAATGTTTGTTCTTGATCTTTTCAAAATGATAAAGGGAACTATGTGTATGAAATATTATGTTCGTTGTCTCACGGCTTATAGGAATTAGTACTGGAGTTTCAAACGTCAAACTTGTTTCTTGATGACAATCTCGTCTCTTCTTCCTGGCATGAATAGACTGAATTTCACTTACATATGTCCCCGTACTTTGAACTTTGGATTGGATATTCGAACACAATAGTAACTGATCAATTATCATCGTATTATAGTTAAACCTGTACAAAACAGTTATTAAATTGTCTCTTTGTAGACTTATGTATTATGTTATTCATTGTACTCTAAAACATGACGTACATCGACACATGACAAAAAAATTTGTATAATCACAGTTGAACCCTAAAATCTCATGACATATGAACCTATGCCTCATGAAGTATAACAGGTTCAGATATAATTTAAGACTATGCGCTATCCACCAATTTGGCGGAAGAACTTTCCATCTAATCTTCAACAGTTTAATTCGTCCACATTTAGAGTGCAGAAATAGTTTTTCATCCCTCACTGAAAAAGGATTAAGCAAAACACACTGAAGCCTGTAAAGTGAAAGCTTCTTCTATTCCGTTCAAAACCATTTGCTTTTGAAGTATGGTGTGGGCATTTTCAATTAGTGAGTTACATTCCGCCTCTATATACAGAACATAGACGTTAAAAACATTCCTTGTATGAAATGGAGTTCGTTAGTAAGTATATTTAATCCTAATCCGGTTTTATGGAACTGTAACTACCTAGATGGTACAATAAATAGATCTCGGTCTTTTGAGGAAGTACTTCCCAACACGGACCTCGGTCAATCTAATAATACCAATCTTCAAGATTACTCAGCTAAACTTTTAGTACCTGTTGATAAACAATTTATTGACCACTTAGGTCCAAAAAATCTGTCGGGACTTCAGGGAAAGTTCAGGGGCTTCAGAAGTCACTATGAAATCTACACATCCAAGTCTCTTAATGATATATTAGACTATCAGATGCACTCAGGGAATAAGACGCATACACTTCATCGACATAAAAGTTCGTCGGGGTTGCTTTTGAACGATAATTTTTCAAGCAATGCTTCGTCGTCCGACAGTTTGAATGATGTAAACTATGATAACGGACATTCAGACGAAGAAAATCTTCCTGGTGCACGCAAACGCCATGGTTTCCGTGAAGTTACAGACAATTCAGATGACGTCTCAGAGAAGAGCGTGAGTCTGGTACACTCATGTAGTGATCTCAACAGTTATTGGAGTGAAAATGAAGAAGGTCATGACATCAGGAATAGTGACGATTCTGCTGTGAATAGTGTGCTAGACGGTGTAACCGAACTTCACATTAATGAAAAGGCAAATAATTCGTTACCACAGGAAGGTACTAATGCTGCAGACATAGATTTTGACGTTGATGCTGATCAGGACAAAACAAATCCAGCGTACATACCACGAGGTGGGAGGTACTATATGCATGACCATCGTACACTAGAAGAAGACGTTGTAGTGGTTAAAAAGCGAGAAAGTAACCGACGATGGCAGCATGATAAATTTAATTATTATGATCAAGCCCCAAGGTCTACAGAGGAAATCATATGGAGGTATGGGTACGATATTCGTAAAGAAAACATTTGTCCGTTTGCAAATAAGTCTGATCCTAATGATGGAAGTAACGTCCCTACGACAACCTCCATCCCCTGCGAGACTAATGAGACATATCATTCTTCACATCAACCGAGTCAAGTAACCAGTACCAAAGTGCGAGACAGCGTGTTGTGCGGTAACGAAAGCCAAAAACGTTCTGCTAGGACCCAAGGAAAAGCCATCACATACTCTAGCATCAAGTATAATGGCTATAGTCGCTTTACAAAGAGCGACTGCCATGGACGTGATTTCTCCACACGGAAAGATTCAGTTACGGATAAGTTTCAAACTCAAGCTTCAAGGCCCATAAAAGAGGATTCTGTATCTGGAACTAATTTGCATCGCAGTCATCCTACTCCGACCCTTAATATAAAGCCTGCTTATTCAACTAACACACATGACTCATATTGTAAACATCAACAGGGTTTAAACCATTCATATTACACATCTAGCTCCAATCTTTCCAGACGTAATAGGGAAGACTCGTCAAAGCCCCCAGTCTCAAACGATCAATATCTCAGTAAGAAACAGGCCATTAACTTTGCTCCAGTAAACACGAAAATCAGAAGAGTTTACAAACCTCAAGTAATAAAACACTCAAGTCACATCCACGAACAAGTAAAACGTGGAGAAAGAGTTCCGAAACGGTATTCTGCTGTCCGACAAAATGTATCTAACATTGATTCATCTACCGATAAAAAAACACCATTGCGGCTTCCATCTCCTGTACACACTGAAGAGTCGTGTGGTTCTGTTGACGTTAAGAACTTAGTGGTTACAAAGTTAAACACCCCAGGGAATGTACATGAGGTTACTCAACTACATAAATCTGCAGCGGACTGTAAAGACGTAATTGCAACTCAAGATCAGGTTTGCACTAAAATCACTGGTATCAACACGTTTAGTCAACAAAAAGCGGACTCTCAACCAGGTAGTATCAGTGTGCATCCAGTTTCTCTAACACATTTCCAGCCCTCCATAGAATATAGCAGACGTATTCCTACTGAATATTCATCTGTCAATCCACATTTACAAACTATATATTGCCCAGATATATTTCAGCATGATCCACGCTATCAACCTCCAAGCACTGTGATGTCAAACTACGTACTACCTAATGCTCATCAAGCTCAGATGCATCGTTTATATGGAAATGGAATTCAAAATATGAATTTACCAGTGCCAGCAGCCACGACTCTTTGTTTTGATCATGTGCCATGTGGAGTCACAAGTAAGTTCCCTTCAATATACTTAGTTATTTATTTTGGAATTTATCCGGGTAATTAATAATTAAAATTCCACTTTGTAATAAACGTAACTTGGAGCTAACAGAAACTCTTCCTACAAATCATTTACATTACATTTCACCAGTATTTTGTAACTTCTTACTAGGTACTGCATTGTATATGTCAATAAACGTAGACTGAAGCATAAGACACTTGCTCACTAAAGGCATACTACTGAACATACCTTACGGATTATCTTACCGAAGTTCAGATGACGATCTGACACTACTAATTTTGGTTCCCACGTAGTTTGTTTATCAAACTATGATTCTTGGGGAGGGAAGCCACCGTGTAAAGATTTCATTTCAAGAAGGATTTGATCAATACGTGGTGAAGCTTGTCAAACTAAATACGTACTCAGGTACAAAGTCATAGCAACTACAGAGCCAACACTGCTAAGAACCACAAGCACAATTTGTGATGCTAATATATACCACAACTTAATTATTGTAATACCATGTTTTGTTATTTTTTGAAAGGCGGATCTAAATATTCCACATATATGAACTCAGATATTACAAGTGTACTGGAAAAAATTGTATAAGTTTGCTCAAAGTTACACTATAGAACTCTTTATTTTTGTTAGTGAGGTTGTATCCAACACAGTTTCATAATGTGCATTGAAAATGTTAGTGTTTATTAGTCGGTTTACCCTTTTTATTCGATCGTTTTAGTTTACGTAAAACTTGTTATCGGAGCTGGCTTTATAATAAACTGGGTGAATTTTGAAATATTGGAAATCTATTATTGGCGATTGATGAGTTTTTAAGTGATAGGTGATAAGAGCCGGGTTTTGGAAAATATATGATTATTAGATAGGGAGGGTAAAGACAAGCACTATGGTAAATTGTTGCTAAACTGGTTGTAATTATGATATCCACTTTAACTGCAAAGAAAAAGTAACATTCCTAGCTTTCCGCACGACTTTTTGATTAACACCACATATACTGTCATAATAAGCTCATTAAAATATTATACCGTAAGCCTAACAAAGTGTTAAATGATTTAAGGTTACGAAATTCCTGGTATTGTCAAGTTCTGGAAGGTAACAGCTGGAGACCTATACGATATTTATCTTCACCAAATTTCATAAATTCTAACCAGTGAGTAAACAATGTGTAAAATGTATATCATTATTTTACAAAATACCTTTGATATTTCCAGATGACCCTAGTCAAACATACGTGATGCACTTAGGTATAACTGCGGTGGAGCCTCATTGGAATGGCGAGGAAAAACCAGTGTTCAACCGAAGATCCCCGAAGAAACCATTGGAAGTTATTGATCCTCGTGACGGAACAAGAGTTAATAAAGTTGCACTTTCTGAAACACAGTAGCATGCCTCAAATCGTGTTAATTTATATACAAATTTTCAATGTGCATGTATACTTATCGTGTCTTGCCTTGAAAAGATAGTAAATAATAACTAATCTTTATGCAAATCCCAAACTGTAGATATAACTTTCCCAGTTATTATTTCTTTAACTAAATGTTCCAAGCTTTGTGCTTTTCTAAACTACTTCCAGTGTAGTCACGATTGCGAACTATTTTTTGAATATTTCAATCAAATAAAAATTATAGGCGTTTTACTTTCTTGATGAATCTGAAGTACGTTTAGGCTGGGTCACTACGAAAATATTACAACCGTTAAATTTATTCACAATACTTGTAGATGTTCTGCTTAGACTAAAAATATTTTATGTGATTCATATGTTAGTGAACCTGCTTTGACCTAGTAAAGATTACTTTCGAGTACGAGTAAAGCTAACCCTGTCATGTTAAGCAAAACCGTTTGTCGCTATAGAAATGCTTTTGTGACAAAACAGGTCTTAAACTGGCTGATATGGTTTTCTACATGTAAGACCTGGTAGTCAAGCCCTGTTTCTCTGTTCGTAAAACGATTGAGGCGCGCTTATCTGGTCAAACGTACTAAGTGATGGCTCGTAAAATCCCATTAGTTTGAAGCTTGTTGGCACTAACCAGATTTCGAACTTCTAATCAGGCTGTTTTTAGATGCCTAGTAGTTGGTAAACTGTCAATTTTCAAAAGTGGATCACCGAGTAAAAGCTTGCACCTGAGGTCACAAAAGCAAGTAGCTTTTGCAATTCTCCGTACCTATGTTTACTAAACTCAGTGGTGTGAGTTTGGAGAATGAGAATAGATTAAATATTTAGGGATAATCGGCAGTCACCCTTTCACACGCTATCTTTTCACGTCAGGTGTCGCGAAACATGTCAGTAAACCGCATTAATCTAATGGGAAAAGTGTAACCTTGGAAAATAATGCTTAATGTACTTCTGATTTCTAATCGCAAGTGAATATTTTTCAGACCTTAATGGTTATGACCAATATAATTGGAAAATGTCGTGGTCATTAGTCCTGTATTTAAGAAGTACCGAACGACAGTGATATTGAGATATATCTGCCACCGCCTAACAGATGCCAATGCAACCTATTTCATGCTAAAGTGCAAAACCCATCAACATGTGATGACTTTCAGTCATTTGATCAAAATGAAATTGTGATCAGACTTCCTTTCGAAATACTAGAATTAACATGCTTAGTAGATACAACCACTAAATAGCTCATGATTCACAACTGTATGAGCCAAATAATAGTTTATTTTCCTTTGAGATAATTAGATCCACAAAATACCAATCTGACAGCTGCAGTTTAGTAGAATCGACAACTTATCTGTTTAAACTGTGGACATACACTCGAAGGACAGTTCTCTAAATGAATGTAGACTTTAGAGATAAGTGTCGACATTGTAAATTAAGCGTACTAGACATTCAGACTATGGTGAAAGGATAGTCTTCTTGTCCTGTATTTCTAATTAACAACTGGATTAACGAACATTGGTACGAACTACTGCATCTATGCTGAAACTATATGTCGGTCTGCTCAGAAAACTAAGATCAGTACAATCCTATGACTATTGAGCCATCGAATGTCTCGAACTGCCACCTCTTACTATTCACTACTTAGTATTGACGCATGCTTATTAAATGATTTCTCACGACACATTCTAGGTATGACTCACAAATCCTAGCCGATACTTTAGATGGTCGAGTCTACTTTTACTACAAATGGATACCGTTCAGGTGATGTGTTCCCAAACTTAATATGGAGAATTTCTTAGGTGATCAAATTAGTTTAGCTAACTAGTTAATAAATATTGCAAGGTATTATTACACTGGTGACTTGGATCCGTCGAATTATTTGTCAGTGTAGTTTTCCCATGAGATAATAAAGTTGGCTTCTACAAACTTTCTCCACCTGTAGCGCAGATAAGGTGTGTTTATTAAGGAGCATGAATGCTAGACCGAAGTTTAATTTGCACTGCTCTACAGCTATAAAGCGAGGTTCATAAGAAAGAACTGTGTATTTGCAGTTTGATCGAAAGCATCTTTGAACCATTGGTCACAGATAGTGGAATGACCGAGTCGGTAGTGCCAGGGTTAAGCAAGAAGTTCTAGGTAAAATGGTACGACCATTATTGAGGCTTTAAGACTTTATTGATCAAGGTGTCTAGGACGTATTACATATATGTAGCTAGAGCTTACTCGGAAGCAAACTACCTACTCACATAGAAGTATGAAGGAGGTCACGTTAAGAGATGCTATTATTTCATCAATTGAATGTTGGTGCTAACCATGTCAGTTGCGGACGTGCGGTTTGGAGTCTACATTAGTCGTAATCGGTAGTTCGATCCAAAGTCGGTTACCTTGGTAGTTATACTCAGGCCTTGCTTCTCTTTAAATCTCAAGTTTATTACGGCTCCATATTTTTATTCTTCGGTTTCAGTTGTCTTTGAAGCATACTTCCTAGTTAGTAATTAGCGTACTCATGTACGGGGTCTAATTTACTTATTCGAAAAGCAAAACACTTCTGCAAGACTAACAGGATATTGAACCTGCGATCACCGTGGGGGTCAAGTAAACCTATCAAATGGTGCGAGCCAGAGTAGTTTATGCTGATCTGTGCCGTTTTCGGTCCAAACGTGACGCTGCTAATTTGAATATAAAAGATCGAATATACAACGTGTCTGTGAGAGCGACTCTGCTATCCTTGTAGAGCTGAGAATGTTCAGGGATTGTGCATGATTATCTCTGTCTCTGAAGAATCGGTAACATCCGGTAATCCTGGCGGTTCTGTAATGTGTTTAGGTACACTTGGTGTCACCATCTTGAAAAACCGGCTTTAGCAGTTCAGACATGGTTTACTAGTATCGTTCAATCGGCTTCCACAAGGCCCATTATTTCCAGATGCTGGCTAAATGAAAAAAGGAGGAGCGATAAGCGCTGTGCTATAATAAATAGGTGTCTACGACGGGCACATCGGTTCATCACATCTTGGCTGCGTTCTTACAGATTGTGGAACTCAGTGGTTGAAGAAGCCATTTAGATATGACTGTGGACAGAAGCGATCATACTGGGTTTTTCCTAAATTCTTCGTAAAACGTTACTTGAATTTCTTTAATGGAGCATCGATTTTGACTAGATTGTATCTTTTACTGAATACTTTTCTTGTTCATTTGTTTTCTGAGACCATCTACTTTTTTCATTCCTCCACAATATTATCATTTTACTAGTCTAGCACTTTTTGATATCTCATTGTGCCAATTTATATTTGCTATGAATGAGTAAATCATTGGCTTGTGAGTGACATACAAAACTTATATATCCACATCCCTCCTGTTCCAAACTGCTCCTAATCACGTTTCATATTTTGTACGTAAACATGTTTTTACATCAGTTCATTTTAGGGCTTTTGTCAAGAATTCAATGTCGCCAGCTGTTATAGTATCACTGTACATCACTAGTTTATCAGGGTTTGAATCATCCTCTTAATCAGAGATGTATTTATCATAACACATAGAAAAATTGAGCTCCACAACACATTGGGTTTGACATTATTTTACCTCCTAAGCTCCCTGTTCTATGAATTTCCTCCTCCATTTTGGTAATGTGCAGTGAGCCAGCTGGGACTGATACACACTCCTGTCAGGTCTTACGGTGAATTAGATGGATTATTTACTTCATAAAACGTCGCATTAACACCAAATTCACCGTGTTAATACAACGGATAAGCTGGGAGACCAAACAATGGCCTAGTTCGATTGCTATTTGCGTCTCCCCTAACAGATATAACAAACGAGTCTTTGGAAAGTTTCAAAGAATCCCCGTTTGAGATTACCAATCATTATTTTCCACGCCGTCTATTATAGTAAGTTATCAGTTTTAAAAGTGCTCCTATTAACTGAAGCTAGACGATGGATTTTAATTTAGGAACTACGTGACCTAGGCTCTGTTACTATTTGGCGTGAACTTATTTAATTTTCCTAAGCAACGAAAAGATCCACAATGATGATGAATTATCAAACTGCCTGAATCTTACCCATTACGACTAGCTTTATTTGACGTTAGAAACTGTATTTAGGGTCTAAGAGTCACCACTTAATTGGTAAAAAAGTGGAAAATAATCTGAAACCAGTAAAGCTCCTTTAGACTTCCTACCACTCGTAACAACCAACTTTTGATAAAGTTACTGACGTGGTATTTTTACTCAGATCCCAGTTACATAATGTTTTTATCATAACACATAGAAAAATTGAGCTCCACAACACATTGGGTTTGACATTATTTTACCTCCTAAGCTCCCTGTTCTATGAATTTCCTCCTCCATTTTGGTAATGTGCAGTGAGCCAGCTGGGACTGATATACACTCCTGTCAGGTCTTACGGTGAATGAGATGGATTATTTACTTCATAAAACGTCGCCCCCGAACGCCCTGGTACGGCCGAGAGTGGGGAGAGTCCGCTCTCCCTCTCGAAATACTCTCACACGGCCGCGCGTATACAGCCTCTGCCAGGGAAGTCCTACTCATTGCCTTCTCGCGGCGGGGGTGTTGTTTACGAAAATGAGAGGACGAAAAGCGAACGTCCGGCGCTTTAACCGGATCACAAACCAATGGTGCACATGGGCTCCAGTATCCTGCGGGAACAAATGGCGTATGAACCAATCGTTGGTCACCGGCTACCATGGGATTGCATCTCCTCACGATGCTCCACTGCCTTGTGGGTTAGACCATTAGGTTAAAGGCTCGTGGTGTGGCCCCCTAAGAAAACCACCTGCTTCGGTTTGGGCACCCGGGCAGTATCACAGCCCACACACAAACGATGAACTCTATTTGTGTGGCGCATATATATTGGCGCTCTCTTGTACCAATATTTATGTGTTCAAATAAATAAATAATGTTTTGGAGGTCACATTCCTTAAAAAACCTCAGAGGTTGCCAATTATCAATGATAACACCCGCAGTATCATTTCAACTTCCGAAAGTTGCGTTGTACATATAACAAAAATCTGCATACTATGAATACAATTAAGTTAGGAATAATAATCATATCACTATAAAGTAACACCTGAAAAGAGATCGTTATAGAGAGCTTTACTGATAATATATGAAGTGAAAAACATTTACAAAAGATGTATTTTTCGGAACATGTCAGCGTTTTTTGAATCCATATTTTTTACGTTCATAAAACAGATCAGTTTTCGCACTTCCTAAATTGACAATTTTAGGGCAACCATCTCTCTAAGTGAAAATATCTAATTAAAGAGAATCGAGAAACACTCACATCCTTTTCCAGACACGTACACTGTCGACAGTAATAAGCGTCCGAAACCCCTGGACCACCACATATAACACAACGTCCTTGATATGATCCGTAATTACACTCGTCACATATGCGAACAAGAGTACACGGGCGAACATAAGAATCACAAATAACGCACTTCCCATCACACTTTTCACACAGACGACCGATAGCTTTGTTAAGGATAGTAGTGAAATTCAACAGTCTTACCAACACCTGGTTGTTTCCTGCAGAAAATAAGGTCTGGATGATGCTTTGCCATAATTTAAACTTGTGACTATAATTGTAGTATCGCTTTTGTGTCCTAAAAAATTAATAGTAAAGTTATATTAAGCATTAGACAAGAAAACTAACTTAAGCATATTCAATGACCATCAAGTAAAATTGAACCATAATGAACGGAACACATTAATTTACAAAACCCAAAAACAAACATTTCAGGACGTAGTTTATTGGATTGCCGTGAGTCAGTCAGTCACAACGTAGAACCTGTACGTACGTACATCGGTTCACGTCATACCCCATTAAAAGAGGGATGTTGTCAGGCCAAATCCTAGAATGGTAGATGTAGTAACAGTATCCGTGGTAATTAGGAAAGATAAGTCATCGAAGATGAGATACGAAAAGAAAATATAAATTAGTGAGATAAAAACACAGAGACTTATGAGCAATTTAGAATTTCAGGATTTGAGGAAAGACAAAGAATGGATGCACCTGAGCCGTTGCAAACTATTTTCAGCCATGTTATTCAAAGTCTCTAACCATTGGCTACGATAGTCACACGGACCCCAACAAGGTAGTGCGTACCTATTAGCATGGCTGTCAGTGGCTTCATGGAGTGATGCCATGTTTTATTTTGGCAGTCCCTAACTTTCTCCCAGCCTACTCCTGCACCCAAAGACATAACCCGTCGATGTAGGCAGTGGTTGGGCATGCGTAACACATGTCCCAACCACCTCAGTTGAAGATTTACTACCTCAACAATCGACTACTCATCATAGCCGAGTACTCTATTCCTAACCTAGGCTTACTCCATGCTCCGAAAATACACAAACGATACTTCGTAGACGCTTATGATCGAATACTAGTAACGTATGAGTGTCCTCTACTCTTCATGACCATGTTTCACATTCATAAAGTACAATGAAGAGAACTTCTGGACAGTAAACTCTCCCTTTGGTTGGAGGAGGGGTATCTCGCCTACACAAATTGGCAAAAGTCAATCGAGCCTTCTGAATCCGTGCCGAGGTTTCTTCAGACACCAAACCATCAGTAGTAATGATACTACCAATATAGGTGGAGCGGTCGATGCGTTCGACTACTCCACTCCTCATCACTAATTCAAGCGATGGCGCCAGCCAATGCTGAAGTAAGGTCTTATATTTACAGTGACTGAGGACATTTAGGATAAATGTATCAATGATGGTCGCATTCTTATGCAATTTGTGTAAACGCGGATTATATACCAGTAGCTACTATTAAGTCGGAACTAGTTAATACCAAGTGGTATAAGATGTCAAACATGGTGATCAAGTTAAAGTAACCTGCTAAGACATAATACAATTTATAAACTCAGAAAAATTTATCTGGAAGTAATAAATTAAATTGTCTCAATAAATGCATAGTTACTGATAATCAGTAGTACACATTACGGGATCTTGAATTATCACATATGAAATATCCTCACCCTTTGCGTGATGAGACGTCTTTACTCCCTAGTTTGCACTCGGCAAACTATTTTGTTTATCAATCGCGATGCTCGTCTGAACCATGCTCACCTTGATCCAATGATCTTCCGGTAAGAATCTAATAGATATATGCCTTATTACATATATAGACCGTCTTAAATATTAGTCCGAAATGGCTCTTATCAATGATGTCATCACTACGGAATTTGAGTCGACAGTTACATCTTTGTGCTAATGTGGTATGGCAACTCGAACTGATGTACGTACATACGTACGAAGTTCTACGATGTTACTGACTGATATCACTGCTGGGACCTGAGATTGTACCTCGTTTGAGAGATAAATCGAAAAATTCAGCGGCCCATCAACGACCAGGATTGACTATGAACTATATTGTAGATGAGATATTCTGTACTTAAGAATAAATCCTAGGTGACCCACTATTTTAAACAAACACCAACATAAAGGAGGAAGGATGCATTTGTAAAATCTCAGCGAAAGAATTTGAAGTAAATCCAACATTTAGTTTGGCAATCTGGTCAAAGCTTTTTTAAGGAAAATATAATCAAACAACAAAATTATCGACCGTAAATAGGCACATGGTTCTCTGGTTTACTGTATTCTGTATAAGTCATCAAACTAACGTGAACAATGTTTGTAGTAGGTATTAACATTAGTGTGTAAGAGACATGTGATGTGAAACGGTGTTAAGATAACAGATTGTGTGTATATGTAGGTGATGTGAAAAGAAATTTCATTCAACTATATATTGTCGGCGGTCTGTGTATATTAAGAAAACATATCATCTTATGTATGATATGAATCAAAAATGTCACAGCATGCATTAAATGACGATAAATAAACAAGATAAAAGACTGAATTCAAAGAGGAATGTATTTGTAATTGAAAGTTTGTATTATTTTAATGTTCCAGTCAATTGTTTAACATGTTCAGATAAAGCAACTGGTTTGAACCGTTGAAGGTATTATTTATTGATTAGTTAATATGATATAGATAGGTAGAATTGAATAAGGAGTTCAGGTTTACTTATTTATTTATTTATTTTATTTATTTTAACACATAAATATTGGTACAAGAGAGCGCCAATATATATGCGCCACACAAAACAATGTAACTTCGAAGAGATAGAAAAAAAAACCAAGGAGCACAAAAGAGAACGATAACGAAGAGATTGGTGTAATTTAGTGTGGTCGTAACAGTGGAACGGAAAAGTACAATCAGAAGAAATCTTTCAAGTAAGGGAGACACAACCACTTTTTATGAAGAAAGTAAAAGAAGGTTACAGCAGGATCGCCACTGGCTTTTATTCTGAGCCATATCTGATAACGTCTCTAGCCACTGTGTAGCACTATCTCTCAGACCCCAACCAGGGAGTCGTGAAGGACCAACACAAGCCAGTCCTTTGCAGCTTTCTTTCATACCACGACACCATGTCATGCACTGACCACCTCTCCGCTTTTTCCAACCAGTCCCAGAGTCGGCAAATAATGCACGACGTGGAATTCTCTGGGACGACATTCGTAGAACATGTCCAAGCCACCGAAGTCGGTGTTTCAAGATGGTGACACCAATTGAATTATCATCTCTGTGCCCAAACACATGATGCCGAACCTCTGCATTACTGACATGGTGTTGCCACTGAATATCAGCAATCCTTCGGAGACAGCGATGATCGAACACAGAGAGTCGTCTAACGTCCTCAACTCGGAGAGGCCAGGTTTCACAAGCATAGAGCAAAACTGCTCTCACCGACGCGTTGTAGATCCGACCTTTTACAGCCAGACTAACATCACGAAGGCGCCAAAGATGGCCCAGATTGGCATAAGCCACTCTGGCTTTCACTATACGTGCATTGATCTCATCACTCACACCCCCACCAGCACTTATGCAACTACCCAGATACACGAACTTCTCGACTACTTCTATCTGCTCACCATCCAGGGTGAGTACAGGATTGGAATCCTGCCAGTCTTGTAGAAGTACTTTGCACTTCGAAGGTGCAAAACACATACCATACCTACGGACACTGATTGCCAACTGATTAAGTGCGGATTGCATGCCTTGGGCATTATCGCACAGTAAGACAATATCGTCCGCATACTCAAGGTCGAGAAGTCTTTCTCCAGGTAACAGATCCACACCACCATTACTTACATTCATCAGAGCTGTTTCCAGAATGTCATCGATGGCAAAGTTGAAGAGGAATGGTGAGATTGGGCAACCCTGCCTAACCCCACTACTCGAATGGAACAATGGAGAGAGGTGGTTGTATGCCCTCACTCTGCCTGAGGTGTTTTTATATAGGGCTTTTAGGATGTTAATAAACTTCTCAGGCACACCCTTCTTCAATAGACAATCCCAGAGAACAGTCCTGTCCAACGAATCGAAGGCAGCCCTGATGTCAAGAAACACTACGATTGTTGGCCTTTGATAAGTATGGCGATGTTCTAACATTTGGCGGAGGGTGAAGATATGATCAATACATCCTCGACCAGAACGAAACCCAGCCTGCTCCTCGCGAGTCAATCTTTCCCGAGTTTTGAACAACCTACGAAGTATGACGGAAGCCAATAGCTTGGACGCAATCGGAAGTAGACTTATCCCCCGATAGTTGTTACAGGAACGACGTGAACCCTTTTTAAAGATAGGGACAACTATTGACTCATTCTATGACGTTGGTACACTCTCTAGTTCCCAGACCTTTGTAAACAACGTTGTCAGTTCCTCAGCCAGAAAGTCACCACCATCTTTAAAAAGAGCCGAAGGTAAGTCATCTGGGCCAGGTGATTTGTAACGCTTCAAGAGTTGGAGTTCCTTGCGGACTTCCTCCTCGTTTGGTGGATCAGTCGTCACCGGCCATGGAGGGCAGGACAGCCTGACCGATGTTGCCGGAGCAGCAGGCCAGTTGAACTGCCCTTCGAAAAATTCTGCCCATCGTCCAAGACGTCGATGGATGTTAGTGATTGGCATCCCATCATCCTCGCAGATTGTTTCACTCACACCAGACTTCTTGCTGCCAGTGGCTCGGATGAGCTGGAAGAGCTTCCGGTAGTTACCAGATGCAGCTGCTGCTTCCAGCTCATTAGCACGCTCCGACCACCAGGCTTCTCGGTCCTTACGCAAGCTTTGCCCAATTTCCCTACGTAACATCCTTCGTTTATCTTCAAATTCGTGGTCACCCGGAGTAGACCGACGGGCTTCAATGAGTTGTAAGGAACCAGAAGAAACCCAGTGCTTAAAAGCGGGACGTTTCGCAAACCCACAACTGACTGTTCCCGCCATTTTCATGGCGTCAAGCAATTGCAACCAATGCTCATCTATGCTTTTCGGTGGAATGGTAGCTAGCCTAGAAACTAGCTCAGTTCGATACTTATTTGCAACAGAAGTTGCAACCAGCTTGCTAACATCAATCCGTTGGTGGCGGTCACTTCGTTGTCCACTGAAAAGTAAGGCAAGATTGGCGCAGACCAAGGCATGGTCAGAGTCCAGATAGGTACTCCAAAAGGAGCGGCAGTCTTTTACACAACCACGCCAGCGGAAGCTGATCGCGATGTGATGTGGGCTGTGATACTGCCCGGGTGCCCAAACCGAAGCAGGTGGTTGTCTTAGGGGGCCACACCCCGAGCCTTTGACCAAATGGTCTAACCCACAAGGCAGTGGAGCATCGTAAGGAGATGCAATCCCATGGTAGCCGGTGACCAACGATTGGTTCATACGCCATTTGTTCCCGCAGGATACTGGAGCCCATGTGCACCATTGGTTTGTGATCCGGTTAAAGCGCCGGACGTTTGCTTTTCGTCCTCTCATTTTCGTAAACAACACCCCCGCCGCGAGAAGGCAATGAGTAGGACTTCCCTAGCAGAGGCTGTATACGCGCGGCCGTGTGAGAGTATTTCGAGAGGGAGAGCGGACTCTCCCCACTCTCGGCCGTACCAGGGCGTTCGGGGGTTCAGGTTTACTTATTAATTATTCGTTACCATGGGACAGGTAGTTGTATTGCATCTCTCCTATTAATACTGTTTGAATTAGCCCATATATAGAGGGCTTCGGCTGTTAGTCGTTCTTTGTAAGGATTAAAGCCTTTTTGAATGATTCTTGTGCCATTTAAATCAATTGTATGACCCGATTCTATCGAGTGTAATGCTACCACTGATTTGTTCTCAAGTTTTCTTACACCATCTGAGGATTTAGGAATGTGCTTTAAGCACAGTTTGCGTTCCTTCACCCTCACATTCAGTTGCCTTGATGTGTCACCTACATACGTTGCATTACAGTTGATTTTATAAACAAAATTCTGTTGTTCACCATTGTGTATTGGATCTTTGATTCTTACTAGTTTTGATCTTAGAGTATTGTTTGTTCGAAAGAATACCCTTAGATGTTGAAAAGTTAGAATTCTTTTGATCTTTTCTGAAATACCTTTACGATATGGGATCACCACTGTATTAATCCAATCTTTTTTCTTGACTTTTTTTAATATCATTTTGTCCTTCGTTATTAATTATTCTTTTAATAAAATACTTCGGACAATCATTCATCATTAAAGTGAATACAATTAAATTCATTTCCATTTTCATATCATTTGGTTCAGCGACGAGTTTTTTTACTCTGGTGACCAAATTTCTGGCTACTGTCACTTTGGTAGAATGTGGATGCGCAGACTTAAAATCTAGAAATTTCCCTGAATATGTCGGCTTTCGGAAAATACTAATTTTTAAACAATCATTATACTTCCTTCCAACCAAGCAGTCTAGAAAAGGTAATTTGCGTTCAGGAGATTCCAACTCTTTAGTGAACTTGATTTTGTCATAAATGCTGTTGACACGTTGAAACAGTTCGTCTAAATCATCTCGTTTTACAATGACCAAAGTGTCATCTACGTATCTTAACCAAATTTTTGGTGGAATGGAGTACATTGAGATAGCACTTGTTTCCAGTGAATGCATGAATAAGTTAGCAACAATTGGAGAAACCGGTGATCCCATAGCTACACCTTCTGTTTGTCTGTACAAATCTCCCCGAAAGCTGAAAACAGCTGAGTGTAAGCATATATCCAAAGCTCTAATAATGTCTGAGGGATCTAAAGGACAACGTTGTTTAAGTTCAGTGTCAGGATCTAAGAGATTATATACAATATCTAAAGCTTCATTAACAATAACATTAGTGAACAATCAGCAAACATAAAAACTCGCCATTATTACATCCTCTTCTATGCGGATATTACGGACGTTTTTGAAATCATTAGAATTTTTTTATTCCTTATTTTATTACGCTTTCATATGGTTTAAGAATTTTGGTCAGGTATCTAGAAAGATTATAGGTTGGTGAATTTATGTAATCAACCACAGGTCTTAGTAGGATATCTGTTTTATGTATTTTCGGTAGGCCATAAAATCTACAAGGGTTATTGCCTTTTGGATATTAAGAGAACCATAAAGATGGTCCTAGTTTATACTTTAACTTATGTAGCATTTTGGCCGTTTCAGCTTTCAACTTATTTAAAGTGGCTCTACACTTGTTCTTCATGATTTTTTAATAGGGTCCATTGTGGAGATGTTCATTGACTTTTCTTTCATAGAATTATTCATAACAACAGTGGTGTTTCCCTTGTCTGCCTTCATAATAACAATTTTTCTGTCTTTACGCAACTGTTTTAGGGTATACGTTTCTTCTTTAGAAATATTAGGCGTACTTGGTTTTTGATTCAACAATGCAGCTGAGATTTTAAACTTCACTGAATCCGCATGATCATCTGGAATACTGTTTAAAGCAGGCTCGATCAACGGAATGACTTCAGGGGCCGAAATTCGTGTTTTGTCCATATTGAAATTGAGACCTTTTTTAAGTAGTGATAGTTCATATTGATTTAAATGTCTGTCAGATAGATTTACCACTACTTTGTTTATATTGAGTTCCTTGGATTTATTTCTAATCTCGTCAGTGTTGGATTTCTACAAATGTTTAAACATTTGCTCAAATTTTCTTGTTTTCCCTGAAAAAGCTTGGACCAGATTGCTAGGCTAAACGTTAGATTTACTTCAAATTCTTTCGCTGAGATTTTACAAATACATTCTTCCTTTTGAATATCTCACATTAACTCTGCGCCCAAATATTGTGAAACTATTGTTTCAAATTTAGACGGAATTTCTTATTTATACACCTACAACCTACAAATTGGTAGTATAGTAAAGTAGCTATGTCGACAACCTTAAGTACGCCACTCCGATGCCACATCGTAATGGGAAAATGTACTTTACTTATCTTCGTGGTACGCGTTGAGATAAAAATCAGAGGTGGCTGCGCGGTCGCTGAAATCGTATATGGCAGCACTCATTTCTAGAAATCACTGCGCCATTAACCGGATCAAGCTGCACGTTAACCGGTTTACAGACTCAATGCTTTTATTTAGGTCTCGTCCACCTTGATTTTACCCAGTAAATGTTTTTATTCAAACGAGATTATGATACAGCATGCAATTTTTTGTAGATCTTGATCTTCAACCCTCACCTTTAGATAGAGCCCAGTGGATACGCCAAATTCTTTGAATATGAATCAAAATATCATACCACTGACACAAACAACAACCACTGACCGATAAAAAGCGGGTTAAAAAAGATAATTAACTCTAAAATGGTTTATTAGGCGATACACAGTTAAATGACAACTTATCGAAGGGTACCGAGATTTTAACCCCAAGTGAGTGAGGACTGTTAGAAGCATGTATATCTATCACATACTAACAAGTTATTTTGAAGCAATCGAAGTAAAGGATCTTTAGAATTCGAATACTTTAGTATTAGGCGTAGAAACTTGCTTTTTCTTAGGTTAATGTTTGATACGTTGATGACTTCATAACCTAACTTACGTAGAATAACCTGTATCCACCTTTACTGCATTCACCTAATTCGGTTACCGATATTATGAGGGAACTAAAAGTCATTTGGAGTTTTTATCTGGAATTAATAGAACAGTTTATTTCAGAATGGCAGCATAGCACATTGACTGAAGCTTATAGTAAGTTGAAGAGCAGATAGAAGTAATAATGCACACTAGAATAAAGCTCTAATAATCAGACCGAGCGAAACTTAATTAAAAATGAACATAGGGTCGTCGGTGGCCAAAAAAGATTTCTGGGAGCAGGAATAAACGACTAAGTAACAGTAAATACCAATAGCGTAGATGTTATTTAATAACTGACAATATCACATGAAACTACCAACCTCAGATGACTGTATGTAAAGTGGAACAGAACAACGCTTCAGTGGTGAGTCCAGTGAAGGTTGCGAGCACTTGAAGGTCAAATTGTCGTAAGGTGATTGGTGCGTCACATCAACAATTCATGAAATATTGCAGACGCGGTCAAATCAAGATGTTTTTGGATTTCATTTTAGTTCAGCCACATTATGTCTGATAACATCAATCCTTCAAGTAGTTAACGTGGTGTTATCTTAATGCCGCATGACATAGGATAAATATTCAAGTATGTTATGTTATTCGGATTTACATATTGAGACTTGTTTGAAAGAAGTATGTAACCCAATCTCCCTAATTTGGGAAGCCGCAATAGGAGACTTCGATGTAATGGCATAAAAAAACCAAAATCTCCCCAGGTTTAGGGAAAACCCAAAACATATTTTGAAAACTTTTGTTGATAAATTTTTACATTCCACAGTGTGATGTTAGGTTTATTCAAGCTCATTTTTGGATATATGTAATACCTCACACAATCCTCTGTGTTTCGCATCCTGTTGGTAAACACTATTGTATATATATATATATATATATATATATATATATATATATATATATATATAATTATCATTGATGACCTTCGTCATTTTAATACTTTACATTCACTCATGTCAGTTGTTCCATACTATTTCTTATCTCAATGTAAAATTCTAATACATATTTGGTTGTAAGAAGTTGACGAGAAACCACGAAATATAATAAATTCATATTACTCTACATCAATATTTGTTCTGGCTTTACTTAAATTTACGTTACTGTTAGATTTTCGGAACCAACAAACATTTATTACATTTTGCTCTTTAACCTTCCATGAATTAAGTTTTGCTTATCCGCAGGCATTTGTAGTGACCCACATTTATCATGAGAACACGACTGGTTTAATAAAAACAATTATTATTATAACCAATTGTACCAGTGTTTGTTTTAATGTGCTTCTGTTTAACTGTGCTAATTATAGACATTTTGTGCTTCCATTCCCTTCCATTATTGTTCCGCGGTTTTTGCTATTGTTCGCACGTACTCCATTCTCCTGCATTCGCTTGTACCGTTCTTGGCACGATCTCGGTATTCATTCGATACCACGAGATCGCCAAACGAATAAATCTGGTTACGTTCAACCTTCGCTTTCTGATTTTCTTGGCACGTGTTTTTTGGTATCGGTGTTCATAGTCAATCTCGACGCTACGCTACAATTGGTGATCCCAAAGTCTGGAACATGCCTCAACCTCTGGTGAAATCTTCCAAAGAAGTCAATTCGATGAGTCTGTAGTTTATCTATCCACGTCTGTCGTATATTTTCATATTAATTTTTAATATATAATATACACGACATGACGGATAGCGACAAGAGTACTATTAATGTTATAGACTCAGGCATACAGGCCATTCACTTTCGACCTGTAGCATTCATTCCCCACGACCCAGAGGTCTGGTTTGCTGCATTAAAGTCCTAGTTTGAGACTCGTCGCATTACGAGCCGAAGGCAAAAGTACGCCTTCGCTCTCGAATCTTTACCCGGGGACCACTTAGTAGCTGTTCGTGAGGTCGTCCTCAATTCCAACGTGCCCAATGTTTACGATCGCCTCAAAGAGGCAATTCTCCGACATTTCCTCCCATCGAGGGAGGAACGATTGAGGACATTGTTAGCACGTCACCCCCTGGGTGATGCTAAACCTAGCCACCACCTCACGCGCCTGCAATCCCTTGCAGGACCAACAGCATCTGACTCGGAAATAGTTAAGGAATTGTGGCTCGAGTCACTACCAGCTCATATCCAACCTACTCTGACGGCACTGTTCGAGGACTCACCGCTTAACCAGGTAGCCCTCATAGCAGACAAAATTTTGGCGAGGACTATTAATAGAGACAGCTATGTAGTTGCTTCAACGGCACGTCCTAAAGTAGACATGGACGCCGGTCATTCCTCAGCTCATGGCGACAGGGACGGGTGTACCCACACGCGTCTTAGTTTTCGAGACTGTTGTAACGTACCCCAACCCTACGTCCCCCGAGCCCGCTCAAGTTCTCGCAAACCCGTCACCACTCGCCCAAAAAGGGCATCTTCCAAGCCACGCCGAAAGGCGGTTTCGGAAGCGAGTGACAGTTGGTGCTGGTTACATAGGTCCTTCGGGTCTGGCGTCCGCCATTGTCGAGCACCTGCTCATACAAGGCGGGAAACGCCAGCGCTAGCGAGTAAAAGCAACCGTACTCGCCGGCCCTTCACCCCAGGTTGGTCGCCTATTCTATGTGCACGATTACCGCACAAACGCTAGGTTCCTGGTTCCCGTACTCACTAAACCACTCGAGGAGCTTCCATCGGTGACCAATCGTGTGGTACACCATATAGTCACCCGCGGACCGCCAGTCACGGCATGACCTCGCCGACTGGCACCGGACAAATTAGCTTTTACTAAGCGTGAGTTTGACTAGCTACTGGTATTATTCGTCCTTCTCACAGTCCATGGGCCTCTCCTCTTCACATGGTGCGCAAAAAAGATGGGGTTAGTTGGAGACCATGTGGCGACTACCGAGCTCTAAACGTAGTTACGCACTTCGATAGCTACCCCATCCCCCACATACACGACATCACGGCATCGCTCAAGGGCACGATTATCTTTTCCAAGATCGATCTGGTACGAGCATATTATCAGATCCCAGTCGCTCTTGAAGATATCGAAAAAACTGCTAACACGACTGCTTTCGGTTTGTTTGAGTTCCTATGAATGCCATTTGGATTACGGAATGCTGCTCAAACGTTTCAAAGGTTTATCGATAGCAATGTACGAGACCTAGATTTTGTTCACGTCTATATTGATGACCTGCTAATCGCATCATCAAACGTAGATGAACATTATCAACATCTTACGCTATTATTTCAACGTCTTTCGGATAATGGAATAGTAGTTAACCCAGACAAATGCGAGTTGGGTAAACGAGAAATAATATTTCTGGGTCATGTTATCAACCAAGAGGGTATTCTACCTTGTGAGGACAAAGTGCAAGCAATAAAGGAGTACAACGTTCCGTCCTCACTCAAGGAACTGAAGGCTTTTCTCGGTTTGGTTAACTTCTACCGTCGCTTCATCTCACGCGCGGCAGAACGGTTACGACCACTAACCGACCTACTTCGCGGCAACCCACACAGATTAGAAATGAACGATTCTGCACGTACTGCATTCACAGAGATCAAAACGGCTCTTGCGCAATCCTTTCTTCTCGCCGATCCATCAGCCACGCTTAGTATAGCGGTTGATGCATCCGATGTCGCTATAGTAGCAGTCATGCAACAAAATATCTCCGGTAGTTGGCAACCCCTCGAGTTTTTCTCACGACGCCTTACTTCCACGGAGACGAGATATAGCGCTTTTGGTCGCGAGCTGCTAGCAGCCTACTGCGCCACCAAACACTTTCGGCACGCAGTAGAAGGATGTCAATTCATCTTATTCGCCGACCAAAAGCCCTCAACGTATACTTTGCATACCAAGTCTCACCGTTACTCACCACGAGAGTGCAGACATTTGGACTATATCTCCCAGTTCACGACAGACCTTCGTCACATCAAAGGCGAGTCGAACTGTGTTGCCGATGCTCTATCACGAATCCAAACGAATGCAGTTACTCTGCCGGTGCTCGATTTCCCTGCTATGGCCGCTGCCCAAGCAAACGATCCCAGTTGTACCAAAGCACCACACTCTACGTCCCTTCAGTATCAGGAAGTACCTTTAGCCACGACTTCTGGCACTATTCTATGTGATACTTCTATCGGCCTTCCTCGACCCATCGTACCCTCTACTTATCGCCGTCTCGTCTTCGATGCCCTGCATGGATTATCTAACCCATGTATCGCAGCCACATTACGTCTCAACGCTGCACGATACGTCTGACCGTCCGTGAATAAAGATGTTTGTATGTGGGCGAAGCAATGCTTACAATGTCAACGATCAAAAGTGCACAGGCACGTAGCCGCCCCCTTTGGCACTTTCGCTACGCCTGAAGCTCGCTTCGATCACGTTCATTTGGACATTGTAGGACCACTGCCACCATCGCATGGGTATGATCGCATACTCATGTGCATCGACCGCTTCACCAGATGGCCCGAAGCTATACCCATCACGTCTATCACGGCGGAGACAGTTGCTCACCGCTTCATAGAACGATGGATAGCTCTATACGGTTGTCCCTCGACTGTCACGACTGACCGAAGACAACAATTTGGGTCTGCACTATTTTCCTTACTTACTCGGCTGCTTGGTACGGAACGCATACGCACTACCGCCTACCATCCAGCTTCAAATGGTTTAGTTGAAAGGTTTCACCGTCAACTTAAAAGTGCTCTACAAGCACACGAAAACGACGACTGGTACGAAACCTTACCCTCGTTCTTTTAGGTATCATAACGCGCTTAAAAGCAGATATCCAATGTTCCGCCGCTGAACTAGTATACGGCACAACATTGCGTCTGCCCGGAGAATTCTTCACACCACGAAGCAGACATGATTTCGCTAAATCAGACTACGTCCAACGGCTGTCTGCATTTATGCGAACGCTGTCTCCGGTGCCGATTCGAATACAACATCGACAGGTCGCTCTCCCTCGAGAGTTATCTACCTGTTCACATGTTTTCATACAAGTAGATTCGGTACGCAAACCTTTGCAACAATCTTACGAAGGCTCTTTTCACGTGATCGCTCGTCATGAAAAGACCTTCAAGGTTGATCGACACGGCCGCGTCGAATTCGTCAGCATTGATCGTCTCAAAACAGCACACGTCGATGACAGTGACCTATCTGATAACCTGAGATTCAATGCTAGACCTATCAAACCTACTAGTGGGGTCCTCAAACCATCTTCAGGTCCGGCGCTAGATACACCTGAGACCTCATTCTCACGTCCCAGTCAACAGCACGCGTCATCTGCACTATCTACGGACAAGACGACAGTCTCACGTCCAGATCAGCAGACCACACTGCCCTTGACTTCGGATGAGATTGCAGGCTCACGCGATGCAAACGATACTACCGTTTCACGTTCCGGTCGCCGAGTACGGTTGCCCGTACGCTTCCGCGACTAGTCGCACAGTCAACAACCGATACGGTGTAGGATTATTCCTATACTACACGCATGCTACACTCTTATTTTCTTGATTTTCTTTTTGTTTGCTGAGCCCACGCCTTCGACCATCTCTGTTTGGTTCCGTCGACTTCAGTCAACTTTGGCGAAAGCTGGTTTGATCACCCACGCTCCTGTCAACGCACCCAGTCGATATATTGGTGTGAATGTTTGGCATACGCTTGGTCTCGAACTTGGTCGTTGCGGTCGCTTCTGGTCTTTTGGCTCAACGTGGTTTCGTCCTACGTCTGCAGCATTTCTGGTCCGCATCCCTACGAACGCCATCTTCAGATTCTGTATACAAACCACTCGCATGACATGCCAACTCAAGGAACAATTACAGCACATCGTTCCTGGTACCGTTCTCCGAAAATAACCGTCGTTGGCAACTCGACGATCAACGATCGCTTTCCTGTTCGCCAATTCATTCGTCCTACAATCGCTCGTCAGTTGATCAGTCCCACGATTTAAACCGCTATTTATCGAAAGCGTAAACCCTTTCTAGCGGGGGCTCCTGTAGTGACTCACATTTATCATGAGAACACGACTGGTTTAATAAAAACAATTATTATTATAACCAATTGTACCAGTGTTTGTTTTAATGTGCTTCTGTTTAACTGTGCTAATTATAGACATTTTGTGCTTCCATTCCCTTCCATTATTGTTCCGCGGTTTTTGCTATTGTTCGCACGTACTCCATTCTCCTGCATTCGCTTGTACCGTTCTTGGCACGATCTCGGTATTCATTCGATACCACGAGATCGCCAAACGAATAAATCTGGTTACGTTCAACCTACGCCTTCTGATTTTCTTGGCACGTGTTTTTTGGTATCGGTGTTCATAGTCAATCTCGACTGGACGCCACGCTACACATTCTTCACACACTGTGTTTATGGAAATGAATTACCACCGCTCTCACACCAAAAGATGGTGCTTCATAATTCTTGTAGTTCTATCCATCTGAGTGAAATAATCATACATTCCAACTACACATCACACAGAGGATATCAGTTGAAAATGGAACTAACAAGAAGTAGTTGAAAATTCACGAATACCTCTATAGGGCTCTAATCATTTGGTTATAGAACTCTGCTGAATCTTTCCAAAAATTCCTCCGCGGTTACTCTAGCTGAACAGGTAATAAAAGATGTTACTTTCAATCATTTTCATCATTCGTTGGATTGTTCTTCACTTCAGTTTATGGAAAAGTTATGTAAAAATTCATACAAAATCTATCAGACCGTACCGAAACAAGAAGCGATAGCGAAGAAATCAACTGGTTTAAACTAGCTTGTGAAATTGATGCATGACATTCGGTATTGGAGGAGCGCTCTCTAACTAACCACAAGCAGATCTCAAGGCACAAATCGTCCACTTCTCCTCCCAAGCAGTGTTTGAGTTAAAACAGTGGGGTTGATCTATAACGAGTTAGGTTCCTCACGCTTCCCAGTGTGGCGATCAGGAGGACCTTGATATGTTCCCCCTCAGGAGTTCATGTTTTTTAGTGAGTGTCAAAATAGGTTCAACACTGCTACACTGATTGTCTTTTCATGCCTGGGATCTAACTGTAGTATAATCGTGCGAATGATGTTGTCGAAATAAATATCCTAGCTATCCTCGCACGTAATTATTGACTTGATTCACGCTAAAGAGTAACGGAATAAAATAAATCAAGTAGGAGAATGAATTTTGAATACACATGTTTCGTACAACTCTTAGTCTGGGGAGATACACAGAATGGAAAGCAAGAGATCAAAGAAAAGCGAGTAAGGTAAGGAGGCCAACCCGACTCCTTCAAGAGCTACTTGATATTTATAGTCAGAAAAAATAGATTATAGGTATGTGTTGTCTGTGATAGGTACTGCACACACATACGCTTGTAAAAACAGACAGAGATAATAAGCGATAAGTAAAGAAGGTCAAAATGTGACTTGAATCGTATGAATAAGTCAGTATGTTCAGGAGCAAAAATAACTCATATAGGCTCGACAGTGCCGAGTATCATAGGTCTCTGCGCACTGCATCATGACCATGAGGCAGGACTTGCCGTAGCCTAATGACATGCCCACTCAATTAATTTCAATCTATAGTGGCAGACCGGTCCTTGTTACCAACTATGGTTTAATTGCTTTGGAACTGCGTTAATTTTGCTAATTTAACCGAAAGAAAAGTTGAATAGATGTGTAGTCAATTGTGGATATTTTTTATTAAGCTATTATTATTAGGCTTTTCTGTACAATAGGTAATCTTGAATTTTTCTGAACATGGTATTGGGGAAAACCGAAAGTAGTACAGAATGTCCACTAAATGCGAAAAAATATTGAGGTTTATTCGTAGAATGCAGATGGACTTGCCCAAAGTGTTTCAAGATTCCGGATAAATATTGGGGAAAGCCCAAAATCGTCGAGGATTTCCCCAGACCTGTGGAAATTTCATGGTTTTAAGCTATTTCTTCAGAATTTTCTACGCTGGATTCCCCAGAATGGACAGAATTTTCCCTAAAATAGGGGGATTGTGAAGTTTCTAGGAAGCATGTAGTAAGTAAAGAGTCACGTTTCCAATTGGATGATTAGTAGGGCTCCATAACATTTCAGGAGCCAAAGACCGCTTGAAATGATATAAAAACCCTAGATTTCCCGCACATAAACTAACTTTGGAGTAAAGCGTTTTTTTCATGGTGCGCACTTTTTCTCTCCTGTTCACGTTGTCTGTAGAGTTAGCCTGGAGTTATAAGAAGAGCTTAGAAAAAGATTCAAGCGTTCAGTCACATGATTTATCATAAACTCAGAATTCTACTAGGTAACTCACTTCAAGCTAAACTGGCCCCTTATGCCAAAATAAAGAGGCTCACTCATGACTTACAGAGAAAACCAATAATAATAAAGTAGATTATGAAAGTAACTCTGCATTAAAAATTCACTTGTTTATCCAAACACTCAATTGCTTTACGACATTTCAGATGTATAAGTAAACCTAAACTGCCTCCGTTCTTTTAAATCTGCTCATTTCATATAGTCCTATGTCTATTTGTCACCGTATTATTTGCATTCTTTCTCCAGTTTATCATAGAAAACTTGTGTAACAGTCGATCGAACAACAGAAAATAAGTCGAACTTATCAAACTCTTATTTCCCCATTACAAATGATCAAGCTTCCTCAGTAATGTGCAATGTTTGCTAGTGTGTTTGTTTTTTTCCTCTTCTTCATCTCTTCTTCAGTGTTGTTATACAACACTGAGGATACATATGCGGAGCATGTGGATCCATCCGAAGCCTTATTAATACTTTTAATATGTTACAAATAACTAGAATTTGCCATACCGAAAGCGTATTACAAAAGTCACCTAGACAACACTAATAGGAAGCACCAAGTGTGTTAAAAATGGCATTTTTGACTTAAATTCATGGATTTACAGCAATATTCTTGATCGTAAACACCTTTGAACTTCATTTGCATTGTGTCGTGACCACCAGTCGTTCACTGCACTACAGCGTCCACAAAGCACCCTAACATTTATATTGAATATTCTGGTTTTACAATTGTCAAGAATATGTAAACCACCTTTCTTGTAATCATATTGTTAGTGCAATTATTATAACTAACATTTTTGGGGTCAACGTTTAGTATTATAAGAGCTGCATATTTTAAGGGACATATTTCCACTACAGATTTTTCATGATGAGCTAAGCCTTACTATGATTGGCATTCCACTAGATTTTTATATTTTTGATGGAAGGGCTCAAGTTAGAATAAGGTTCTTCATCCACCTGGAGTATGAAAATTACTTTTTTATCTTCTGCCGTTTTTCATCCACTCCATAAATGTTTCTCTTATGGAGTTACTGACCAGCAAGCATTGATGGTGAGGGCGATAACTTCAATCCACCCGTGTTTGTGGGGACAGAACATTTTGTATGTATCAGGCTCCTCATGATTGAGAATAAGTCAATCAATCTGTGATATAGATTGTTTTTCTACGCTCACCATTCAAACTCATGTTTCCAATATTATGCTGGATTAGCTATTCTACTGAGACAACCTATAACATGCTAACTCGGATTGTGTGGCTGGCATCGGACAAACAAAAAAAGGAAAAAAAGTTAGACAATAAAAGATGTAATCATTAATATTCTTTACACTTCACCCTCTATATACACAGCCTTCTTATAAACCGTTTTCCTTGTACCAGACTTGACTTCCTTCCCTTCGTGTGAGCTTACTCCAACTTGTTAAACATCACAACTCATTGTTCTTTATTAGTACATTCTCTAATATGGAGCCTCTGACTTCATTTCACTAACAAGACATAATATGAATTTATTCTAATTTATTATACCTCTGTCCGTTCTACTACACTATGTTCAGCAACGTTTGGCGTTCATATCCAAGTGCCTTGCTGCTCTTCTGTTTCTCTTTTTCGCTCTTCAGAATCTTGCTCTGAGAGCACAGCTATGAAACTTCTGACGTTTGGAACAAACTTGATGTACGCGTCCTCTCAAGGTCATAGTTTACAGCAGGCGCTCTACGATTTTACTTTATAACAACTATAAACTTAATAAGTTGGGAAACATTTTGTGAACCAACAAATGCTGTAATTTATAGATCATGCCTGTAAAAATGGTGTGTACCTGCACATGCAGAAATATATTATTATTATTATTAAATACGAGAATGAATTTGAAATACGTATATTTTGTACATCTACATATCCTGACAGACAATCAAAGAGACGAAATAAAACGATGTGGAGAAGGCGAGTGTGCTAACTCTATTTGATTAAGCGTTATCGGATATTTATAATTCGACCTAAAATAAGTTACAGACACGTGATGTATAGACCGAGTGATTAAAACACATAAGATCGCATAAAAACAGTCAGAACTAACAAGCGAATGGTCAACAAGGTCGAGATTTGATCACGATCTCAGTTATATTAGGACATCATTAAGTAAACTACTCCCAGATACAGTTTCAGGAGTTAGTATTTGTATGCTTTATAGAATAGGAAAAAAGGTGGATTCCGAAAGTCCTCCGAAAAACCGCCTCCTAAAGGTTACATCCAACACGGTGGAAGAAAAGAACCTGATTCTAAGTAATTCACGTAAACTGATAGGATCCGGAATATATGTCCTTGAGGATCTCAGCCTAGCTGATCGTATTAAGAGACGAGTTGCAGAAGCGGAAATAAATGAACGTAGCCAAAACGGTGAAAGAAACCTTGTTCTTAATGGTTTTCAAGTTGTAAAAGTTCGGAGCAAAAAAACTCCCAAGCCACTCTGGGTGGCAAGGGTAGGCTCTCCACAGACTTAACGGTATGCTACACAAATGCTCGCAGCCTACTAAATAAAATGGCGGAGCTCAAGTCAGTGGTAGATAAAGAAAAACCAGACGTTATTGCTGTCTCGGAAACTTGGTTAACGTCAGAAGTATTAGACAGTGAAATCCAGTTGACTGGTTTCATAACCAGTAGGGCTGATAGATTAAACCGTAGGGGAGGCGCGGTTATTCTGTACTTGAAAAGTACCCTAAACATAAGATTAGCTGAGACAGTAGCACATGTTTTAGGGACATGTGAACTGGTGAGATGTAATTTGAAATGCCGACGGCAAGATATTGAATTAGTTGTAGTATATCGCAGTCAAGAATGTGTAGCAGATGATTTTATCCCGAGTAAACTTAAGTCCTGGTTTAACAACGGTAAAAGCATTGTAGTAGGCGACTTCAATGCACCACATATAGACTGGGTTAACTTAGAAGTAGGGTCATCCATATCGTCGTTCGACTGCAAAAAGTTGGAAACCTCGATTGGATTAGCATTATTCCAACACATTAGAGATCCCACAAGATACGACTTAAGAAACTCTTCCTCTCTTTTAGATTTAGTCTTCACACACGGTGATGACGGTCAAATGGCTTTTCTCCCACCACTTGGGAGAAGTGACCATGCAGTCATCTTATTCAAATTCATGGCTGAGATTGCCTGTCAAACAGTTGCGCCGGCCCGTCCTAACATATGGAAGGCAGATATGCAGGCAATTAACTCCGCAGCATCGGTGGAGAACTGGGAAATTGACTCAAAGGCATCAGTACAAGAGGCTTGGACTCTATTCAGGCAGATATACAATCGGGTAACTCAACCATACATACCCTGGACTGTCCCGAAGAAAAAGAAGCACGGACATCCCTGGATAGGGCGGGATATTCGACGCTTACTGAGACAAAAGAAGAAATGCTGGGATGTTGTCATCCGACTTGGCACACCAGGTACGATGGAACGCTACAGATCAATAAGAAACGAGTGTATGATAAAAATTCAAGAAGCTCAAAGAAAATATGAAATGCAGCTGGCACAATCTGCACTCAAGCAGCCCAAGAGAATATTCTCGTACATAAACTACAGAACAAGGATGCATCATTGGATTCCCAACCTAACTAAAGTAGGAAGTGAATCTGAAATGATAGAGGAAGATCAGGAAAAAGCAGAGGCTATGGCTGACTATTTTGGGGCAGTTTTCACTCAGGAACCTCCTCTGGAGAAAAAACCAGACCCAAATGCAGAATCAACAAACCAGCTGCTCATCGTGGGCTTCGATCAAAACGATGTGCTTAAGGCTCTTAGCACCCTAAACATGGAGAAGTCAACAGGACCAGATGAACTACACCCCAAAATCTTGAGACATATTGCCCAATATATGCGGCCCCACTGACTGTGATATTCAATATGTCACTTGACCAAGGTGTGTTACCTATGGACTGTAAGGACGCGATCGTCACTCCCATACATAAAACACGTCCACGACAAGTTCCATCGAATTACAGACCCATAAGTCTCACCAGTGTGGTAATTAAAATACTAGAAAGAATAATCAAACGGACCATAACGGCATTTATGGAAACCAATAACTTGCTGAACATGGCACAACATGGTTTTAGAAAGGGTCTTTCCTGTACCACGGACCTCCTTATAGCAAGGGAGTTCTTAATTAATGCGCTAGACAACGGAAACTCAGTGGATGTTGTTTACATAGATTTCGGTAAGGCTTTTGACAAGGTGTCAACTAATAGACTGCTATTGAAGTTGGAAAACCTTGGTATTGCCGGGTCTCTTTTAAAATGGATTAAAGATTTCCTAGTAGGTCGTAGACAAAAAGTAAGAATAAATTCCAAGTGCTCCATCTGGAGACCAATACTTAGTGGAGTACCCAAGGTTCCGTCCTAGGTCCTTTACTTTTTATAATGTACGTTAATGATCTTACAAGTATAGTACAGTCTTCAATTTTCTTATACGCTAACGATGTAAAAATTTGGCGAGTAGTAACTGGAGACAAAGACGCATTTACTCTTCAGGCAGACTTAAGTAATATAATAAACTGGTCTAAAGAGTAGCTGATGCCTATCAACGCGGAAAAGTGTCTACATGCACTTAAGGGATTCAAAGGTTAATACGTACAACATAGCGGATGTGTCATTACCCGTAGTCCGGTCGTATAAGGATCTAGGGGTGACAGTGAGTAATGATCTTAAGACCAAGGCCTATTGCCGGGAGGTCGCAGCCAAGGGGTTTCGAACCCTCGGCGCTTTTAAAAGGACATTCACTAAGTTAGATACTACCATGTTTACCACAGTATACACATCCTTAGTGAGAACTAAGCTAGAGAACTGCATTCAGGCTGCAAGCCACTGTTTAAAAGGTGACTCGGACATACTAGAAAAAGTACAGAGGGAAGCTACCCGTCCAATTCCGGAACTCCGGGGTTTATCATACAAAGAACGGCTAGAAAAACTGTACCTCTTTACTCTTTCCTATCGCAGACTAAGGGGAGATCTAATTTTGATGTACAGAATACTGAGAAATGATTTCGGACCTAACTTATTCTCTCTCTTTCTTCCCACTAGATCGAGACACCTTAGGGGACGTAGCAGGCGAGTAGAAAAGCCAAGAACGAACAAAATACCCGTAGCATACAGGTTTTCACACCTCATCATCAATACTTGGAACCTGCTGCCTGAAACAGCGGTGTCCGCACCTTCGACTGACTCTTTCAAGAGAAAACTGGACACTCACAGAAGCATAATAGAAAAGGAATAACATAGGCCGTAGGCCTTCTGTATTTACTGCAAAAATCTGAACCTGAATCTGAAGGTCAAAATGTGGCTTGAGAAGGATGAATACATTGATCTGTCCAGAAATTTGAATAATCTCTATGGACTAGACGTAGTACTAGCCACTACATATCTGATTCTGTGAATTTTTTCTGAGTTTGAAGATGTTAGAAATCTACTTAGTGGTCTGAATTGTCTTTTACGTTGCTCGACTTAAATATTGAAAAGAAAACAAGATCGATGTTCGATAATTGAGAAAGAGAATACAAAGTAAAACGCAGATTACTATTTGTGCAAGATATAGTTTGACTTTACTTAGTAATTAATAGAATATGTTCGTCTCATTTATCGAAGTTGCGAATATAAGTATCAGTGATACTTGAAATTTTAAGCACATAAGTTATATTATATCAATTCTTAAGCTTAAATACGACGCGGAATCCCGAATCCCTCAAAATGGCGCTAAGAGTACGTTCGCGTAGCCAATCCATTACTTCTTAATTACAGATTGGTGCACGGTATTTCGGGCTTTTGACCAAACCCCGTGAAAAACCTGCATTTGTTAATGAAATCCAAAAAAAAATGGACAGTATGGACCTTGAGGGCAAACCTGGTGAGTTGTTGGCACCAATCAGGATTGATAACCCTAGAAAACTGGCTGTGAAAATGGTCGCATTTATGTGTCTGAGTTTCTTCCAGCCATTCGTGGTAACATACTTGCACATACAGGGTAGTTGATTCACACTATTGAATATTTGTGATCTGTAGATTATCAAGTTAGAATTAAAAAAATGTTTGGTCTTTGTGTGTTATTTAGTCCAAAATCTGTGTCCTTTGTATTAACCTTTTGGATGAATACGTGTAGAATTCGTGTTGCATATTCACAACTTGTATACCTGTAAATGTTTAGAGTAATACTCTGTTATTTAGTAAAGCATTATCCGACACATTAGATTTTTATAGCGAGATCTTATGTTGGTGTGGTTGCTACCCGTTATTCTTTGTACGCTTAAAGCATGATTGCTGCCAATGTTGTCCAAAGACCACCTCAAAATGCATTAGCCGAACCGCATATTGAATCACGATTTCACGTTTCCCTGTGCATAGTCCAGTTGGGTATGCAAAAGCAGGCTGAAATGACATTTAGCTTTTTGTTTCTTGTTACGTCTATTTTAAAGTGACTAAACGTCAGCAGTCTAGGATCGGTAATTATATTTTCTGCGCAACTTCCAGTAATAACAGTCCTCACAATCTCCAAAAAATGCTGAGACTGATTTCTAAACATGACTAACCACTGAGACTGTAGTAGTTTAGGAGGTCAAATGGGGATGATAGTGTCTTAACGATTAGATAAGCATCAACCACACTAAACTATCTGGTGATATAGGTGCCAGTGCAATGTGATGGACGGAGTACTTATCTTTCTCAACAATAAGTCCAAGAATCACGGAAGTTAGTACCGAAATCACATGACCCACCTGTGTGTTGCGTCCCTAACTTAATGATTTTGTAACGTATTTGTATCAGTGCGTAACTTTCAACGAGGGGTGCTAAGGTTCGTATCTTATTTCTACTCATGCTACTAATGTTTGCCTTTATTGTGATCATAGTGAGATGTTCTTTCGACACCTTTCAACTTGTTTTTGCACAAATAGTGATTTGATTTTACCACACAAATGGAAAAACGTCCTGCGTAACAAATGTGAGTTAATTCACTGAAAGTAAAGTTGCTTTGACACACTCGACTCCATAAGCATTTAGCGGTCCTTGCTCTTGTTCTTCCATTGAGACATAGTTTATTTTGTGAAATCGATGCAAGATAAATGATGACACTTTCATGAACTGGTTGCTTTTGAAAAACCAATACCAATGTTTAAACCATTCAGGTCCACTTAGTCAACATTCGAAGACCCATAGGTCATGATCATCGTTTGGTCGAAAACATTAAACTGAATGTGTCATCATGGGCGTGCTGAAGATACCGGAAATTTCGAGATTGCCCAACAGACTACTCATCTTTACCGCCGAACTACTAAACTATTGCATTCCTATGTTCCCGTATTCAGAGCCTCCTTTCGACCCTTGTCGTTAACTTATTTACCGTTTTCTACCACGATCGCGTTTCAAGTATAATCCCGAAATCATAGTGTTGCAGTCTAATAAACCATACACGTAAACTGACACGCTTGAGGTAGATAACAGTAGCACAGCTTGCTGTGTTTTATAGTTAGAATGAAGGATAGGTTGGAAGTATACAGTTGCAGAGCCAATAGAGGTCAGTACTATTTCCGACCTTAGCCTCAAGCTCCACTTTACCAGTTGGAGCTTAGGAAGCCAGTGACAACAGAACTTGGTATATACGAGGGTAGACAGATGAAAAAGTATAGGTAAGTCGTTCTCAAGGTACCGATATGCGTGCTAACCGCAAAAGTATGATTCAGGCTGACACTGAGTATGACAAAGGACAGAATGTGATACTAGTATTCGGATAGCAATAAAAAGTTGGATCACACTTGTCAGCTCTAAATGTAGGCTGACTAAAGGTCAGTCGTTAGAAGTCTGGAATAGTTGCTAGGCGTCTATATCTGCTAATGGTTCCACTGATGAGTGGTTTACTGAGTCTACTTCAGTTACTAGGTACGTACTGTTGTACACTTTTGCATCGCAACGACGTGTTCCTTACGCCCAACCGACGAGCAATGACTTATGGTGTAGGCTGGAAGAAAGCTAGGGGTCGCCAGACCAAAACATGGCACAAGTCCGTGAAGTCACTGACAAGTGTACTGAGCATGTTGGTGGGTGTAGACTAGCTGGTTGGGATACACGAGACGATAGTAATCGATGGTTAGAGACCTTAAGTGACAGCTCGAAATCTTTTGCAATGGCGCAGGTGCATCCACTCTTAGTGTCCTAAATTCTGATCTGAATTCCTCATGTTCCTTTTTTCTCTTTACAAACTTATTTAACTGAATTATACTCCTTGATTAACATCTTCGAACCCTAATCCTTCCAAATACTACTACCTCCACCACTACGAGATTTGAATTGACAATTGTATCTGTGTGCTGATATAAGTACGTACGAAGTCTTACGTTCTTACTGACTGATTGACACTTCTGCACAGAAATTTACGACTTATGCAGACATTTGCTTAACTCACGTGGATATTCATATTCCAAAGTTCCTTTCCTAACACTGCCTGCTGAGGCGTACACACTAAAAGCAAATAGTTACGTTTTATGGTCATTTTATTCTAAGCTTGCTTACTAGGTTTTGATTACTTGAATACCTAAACGTACTACACATATTACGGCCGTTCACCAATATGGAGGCAGCAAGAGTCAGTTGCTAATGGGAAGCTCTCCAATGACGTTTTAGAGATGTTTGCACTTTGTATGTATGCGGTAAGCTAAATTCTATCTGTATGCACACACATCTCTCCCAGTTTGATTATCGGGAGCAAAATAATTAAGTACGACTAATCATTCTGAAAGCCTCGACAGCTTTGTTAAGTTAGTGGCTTAAAAACCATTTTGGCTTCTACTAACTTACACTGGCTGTAGTGTAGACAGTGTCTACTGTCCTATAAAAAGACAGGTGTTGACCTAAAGTAAGTGACATGAGTAGGTCGGTATGATTAGATCAATAAGGTTTTTGGAGCATTGCTTATATTTGTGAAATTACCAATGGATTGATGGTAAATCTACTCATGGAAGAAGCGAAAACTCAGGTTTATTGAAGGAACAAAACGTTCAATGACTGGATGTCAACGTAAAACCAGTGGTGTATACTGTCTAAGTAAAGATCAAATCGTATTCAGTGCTGCTAAGATTGTCTTAGTTTTTCTTGCATTTAATGACATGTTTTTGAATGAATCAGATAAATACAGTTTTCAGTTGTAACTGAACTCATAGGGTGTCCAGTAGTATGGCGTTGACGAATTTCTAAAGTGATTATTAGTATTATGTTGTACAGACATGTGTCTTACAATACCACCGTTACATAAATTTAGCACGGATGAGAAATCGACAAAGTATGAGAGCTCTTTTATTTTGAACACAATGATCGTTTCCATTTTGGTGAAACTACCTACTACTGCGAACTGAATGGATGAAAATAAATGGACTTTGAGATATAACTGACCAATCGAATATATATAAATATATGTACATATACAAGTTTATAGAGCAGTAAGTAAATTATTGTTAGGCGATTGCTGATGTTCCCACGCGATCTGATGACTCTGACTGACGGTCTAGCTGCTCCTTTAATGTTCGGTCTCGAGCAGCGGCCTTTTTGCCCCTTGTAATAGCTTCAGCGAATAACGCACAGAACAAACGTACTGATGTAGGGCTATCGTCGTTACCGGGCACAGGATAGCTAATTAATCTGGGGTCCGAATTTGTATCAACTACACCAATTGTTGGGATGAGCATCTTTGCCGCATCTCGTACAGCAGAATGTGGTCTGCAGATTGAATTACAGGTGCTGAGAAAAAGGACTAAGTCAGGTAGCCTCACAGAGTCATGAAAAACATCCGATGAGTTTGTGAAAACTCCACCTTCCCATTTGCGGCAGTAAGAATACTCGCCAACATTTTCAGCAGTCTTTTCAATTAAAGGTAACATCTGGGAATGAAAGGAAAAAGTAGGTTAAGATTAAAGCGGGCAGCGATAGGGCAGATTGCTACGAAGTAAACTGTGTGGCTTCGACTATAGTACAAATCAGTGGATGATCAATATAGTTGTGGAGATATATGATGGTCAGAGTTGCCATAACTCACACCGAAACAAAAAGACGGGCATGGAGCTGGATGTTATTAGTAACATAGAACCAAAAAGTAATAAGCTGCAATAGGAAACCGGAAGCATGTAATAGTACCACTATAGCTAAATATCACCACTTGGATTATTCAGGTACACATTTTGGCTCAGCCTATACGGATAAAGCAACCACAAATGAAGGTTCGGGATGAGGATGTAACGACCCAGTTTACCACACGTTAATACGTCAATAAAAATGACAAGACGAAAAAACAAATGAAATAATACGAACGGCGGCGCAAAGCTGACTTCACAGTCGCACCTTGCGTCCTCTGCTTCTAGTGCAGCCGCTTCCCAAACAACGTGTCGGACTCCCAGGTGTATGTTCCAAACAGTATAGCTCGAAATATAGTGAATTCAGGTTCTGCCACATTTGTTATTCTTGCCCTAAAGAGATTCACTAATCGGAAAAGTATGTAATATAATTCGGTTCGCAAGTTAAGATAGACAAACAAGATTACTGTCAAAGTAACGTATGCAGTCGGGTAGGGGAGATTAGTGTTTCCATCGTTTAAAACAATACATTCTCCATCAACGTGTTACCATACACTTGTTTATCCCAGCTGCACTGCACCTTTGGCAACATGGTAATTATTATTTGTTTATAAACTTACCTAAGACAACAACCTTAATGGTGATTTTTTTCAGTTATTAACTAAAACTTTAGTTGCAAAAGACGAGTTGATCTACTTACTTGTTTATTCTGGTACATAAAAAGTATTATTCCTTGACGGTAGGCAATGTGAGCCGCGAAATTAAGTGCATCAAACATCAAGGAACATGTCTGTTGTAGATCAATTATGTCTACACCTTGTCTACAACCGTATATGTATGGCTTCATGTATTCATTGCGTAACGCCGATCGGTGACCCAAATGAACACGAGATTGGAATAAATCCGTAATATTAACCAAGTTTTTAAGACCAAAATAATCAGGACAACTTAAAGGATTCTCGAAATAACTGGGATGTGAATAGTTGTTTGGTTTGGTTTTCTCAGATCCGCTTGTAATTATATTTTTCCTGAGGAATAAAAATGTTTCTGAAACCGCAATAATGTATTAAAATATATCTCCCAACATTCAGAATAAGAACAACAAAATGATAAACACTTTATGACTGGAAAATATCGAAATCAAAAAAGGTAACGACTAACATATGTTTGAACTATTTCAGTCAATAAAGAACCAGTCAACACCTCCTTAGTAAACTATGTCTGACCTCAGTACTACTAATTCGATTATTGCACCATGCACCAACAATGTTTTGGAGAAGTCCTTATTTAGATACTACTGATCTACGCACGTCTTCTATTTATCCCATCCTCGATTGCAAGGAAGTGTTTACGTATAGTATACTTGCCGTTTGTGAGCAGACCGAAATCCTACGTAACAGATTAGCGAAATCCATTCCTAAACAAGGAGGATCTAGTGATGTCAAAGCACGAATTAACAAAGCATTGTTACAATCAAAGAATATCTAGAACTCTAAACAACTGTCACTCAAGACTGAACATATGATTCTAAACAATAGCGTTAAAACAGTTCGATTGTATGAAGCTGAAACTACCATCACCACAACCAAAATATTAAAGGTATATACAAGCAACTGTTTACATAAGATATGTCAGACCCATTATTCAAAGATCATCAGTAATAACCTACACTCCCAGGGAAGAAACGATCTTTCAACTGAGGAAATTAGAAAAACGCTCGAGGTGAACAGGACGCACTTAACGGAGATTATTAAACTGCACCACAAAGCAAGCACTAACTTGAAATCTCTGAGGCGAAAGGAAAGGGGGCAGATCAAAGAACATGTCACCAAAGTCTGGGGGTGGACGTCAAGACTACGAGTAGCACTTGATAACAGTTGGACCGAAGAGCTAAAAACAGAGTTGGTTAGAGATTATTGGTAATCGACCTGTACCCCATCAGGAGTAACAGACTTAAATAGGTAAGGATATAGATACCGGGACAACTGGGCACCAAGGTAAGTATGAGTCACAAATAATGAAATAAAATTGTGAAATATAGGGGAAGGAAGGTGCAAGCAAAAATGAATAAATAAACAAAAATAAGTGGACGACAATAGCACATCGTTGGAAGTAGCTCAGTTTAAATTTCAACCAGAAAGAAATTGGGGAGTGACGATTTCGTGTTGATAACTACAGAAAACTTGTAGTATGTATTTAATTAAGCTATGGTCAATGAGCTACCATCTCTTATACATAGGTTTTGCTTATATCGCATGGTGGAACACAATGTTTCTCGAAAAATAATATGGTAAAATTCCACGAGGTTCATCAAAACATTTTTTGGGTCTAAACTGATGTTACTCAACTAATTAATTTCAAACAATATACAAAATAAAAAAAATCTATAAATATCAAAAGAGTTTGAACATCTTGAAAAGATTAGGTAAGTAGTAACAGTTCTACACTGGAGTTTAGGAATGTAATGATGTGATGCCAGAGTTATCACATATCGAAAATGGTGATAATTTTTGAGAAAATACATCCGAGCGTTTTGGAATTTAATTTTAAGTAAACTACTGCGAAATCGTTTATTTGAACTACAAATGTTCTAGGTAAATTTGTGGTATTTATACAATCATTTTCAATACAGTTTACTTCACTTTCTATAAAAGGATTTTGAAATTCAAATATTCAATCCCAAATAGAGTAACTGTCCTAGTGAATTCAAGAAGTTCCAAACTGTAGTTTGTGAGACAGTATAAGACCAAAGCCATCCATACACTTAAAGATCATTGCAGCGGTGTCTAGCATTCGTTTAATCTTTCCATGAATTTAGGGTGCGATTTTAAAGTTCTGTGGATTCTCGCATATCCCAGTTAACTACAACTGTGTACACTATGTTTATATATTATGTTTACGACAGTTGTTGGGGCACGAAAAACATATGAAGTGATAGGAAATGTATACAGATCTCATGCTCGAAATTGGACTTTACAACTGTCAGTCGAACAAACTAATGAGTAAAGATAACCGCCTATAAGAACGTGAAATAAACTTTCGAAATATAAATACGCGCTGGTAGTAAAACTTTTATCAAGGTATATAAAAAAACTAACGTACTATGATAACTCTTCAAAAGTGTCTTAGGAAGCATTTCAAGGTGTAGTGTCAGTTTATGTTATTAGGTATTCGGCCAGGGACCAAAGTATGCGACCTTGTAGCCAAAAGCGGACAGTCTAAACGACAGAAAACAAAAGAAAGTTAATATGAGGCATAGCTAGTAAACACTATTCAACACCAGTTGTATTCAAAGCTTCAGACAACACACAAACTAAGTGAGAAGTCACACACTAACTCTGACTAAGGATCGCCTTCTTCAGTGTAACTGGATGATGGAATGATAGCTATTTACTCGTGAAGTAGGTAACACATAGAGCATGATTTATCGGTGCGTCGACTCATGTGCGCTCAACAAGTTGAACGCGTAGACCGAAAGTCCCTGAAAACGGCCTGAGAGAATTTTTACACGAAAATTAGCAAAACTTAAGAAATCCCAGGGAGGAGTATGAGGCACTATTTATTAATGACCTTATAATGCCGAAAATGTCTGTTTTCATACATAGATTCGACAGTTTACTGGCAAATATGGTAGCGATGATTTATGGACGAACTAATCAGGAATAAGATAAAAGGTCTCGGATTTTAGCGTGAAACTTACTCATCCATTTGCTTAAATAGAGTTTTGGCATTACAGCTGATGTCGATTCGTGATGAGGGCCCTAAATTTGATTCCTAACCTTAACCCCCAACTGCGAAACATAATTTTAATTCCTTACACAGGTTTATAACCCTCATTCGGTACTAGATATTAGGTGGACACTCTTAAAGTCAGTCTAGCGTCGCTAAAAGGTCGTCCATAAATTAGTCTCACGATGGGAACTTGTGAAATATATCCTAATGTACTGAAGGAACCTACACATCTTGTAAAAAATATGTACATGTCCTAACCTGTCTCTAACTCAAAGTGGTTTTTTAAAATAATTTACAAGGACAATCAAAAGTCTAACAGGTCATAGCAAATTACTTCCCAGCCGAATTCCCCATCCGATAATTGATAAATGAGATCTTGAATCTAGATTACAGCCCCATGTGTCGATTAATCCCACCGTAACTGAGTCAAACGATGGGACGAGTGAAAAACTTATGCAACACAGCCTTTGGTGGGTTGGCGTCTAGACTGAAGGTACCTTATCTGGGACGTATTCGTAACAGTAAGTAAGTTTCTTTGGGAGAAAAAAATAGATAAATTGAGTCGAAAATCCAGAATGAACATAGAGTATGTGATTAACAACCATCAGAAATAACACAAACATAATGTTAAAACAATCTGACAACCAGGTCGAATCTGCCTCCACGACCTTGAGTGGCTGTGTTCACATATTCAATTGGTTGTGGACGGAATAGAAGAAGCTTTCGCTTAACAGGCTTCCGTGTCTAGTAGCAGGGAATCACCAAATCCTCCAGGCAGGAACCTAGGTATGTTAACAATAAAAGAGGAAAAGAAATTGGTAAATCATAGTATGATACTGTCCTAGGTCCTTAAGAATAGGTCAAGTTCCCTCTTGAAGGACTCCTGAGAAGTCGCTTGGACTAGCTCGGCCGGCAGCGAATTCTAGCTTTTGACAACTCTTAAGGAGTAGAAGTTGTGTCTACATCCCGTCTTGCTATATTGAGTTTCTAGTTTCTGGGTGTTACCTATTAGGTTGCTGTTGAGACTAAGCTTAAGTAGGTGTTTAAGAAGATGTCCAGAAGTGTTAAGAATACTACAAGCCATTAATAAATCACCCCTAAGACGCCTATACTCTAATGGGTAAAGGTCTAGTGAATGGAGGCGTTCTTCGTAAGGCTTAGATTTGAGTCCGCGAACTGATTTCGTGGCTCGCCGTTGGATACGCTCCAAAGTGATCTTGTCCTTTTGGAGTGAGGGGGGAGTACTATATTTCCGTACTCTAAATGGGGACGGATAAAACTATTGAAGATTGTATGGAAAGTTCTTCCGTCAAACTGGCCAAAAATGCACTTCAATGTTACCAGTGCAAGGTTTGCTCGGAAGGCATTTTTGTCACAATTAGCGTAAGACTTTAAATCATGGGGCGCCAGGACTCCTAAATCTTTTTCGACTTGGGATACTACTAGAGAGGAATTTCTTAAGTTATAACTGTAGTCTGCGACATGTCTCAGATGAACTACTTTACACTTTGAAGTGTTAAACGTAAGTCCGTTATCGTCTGCCCAACTTCGAAGTCGAGTCAGATCCTCCTGAAGTGCCTGTGTATCGTCTTGGTTGCGTATCTCTCTCTCCAAAGTTTCACGTCATCGGCAAAAAGTAATAAGTCTGACGTTACCTGCTGAGGAAGATCGTTTATGTAGATCAAGAAGAGGAGAGGCCCTAATACTGAGCCCTGGGGAACCCCTCTAGGACATTCCATAGCCTGAGATAAAGTGAAATTAACCCTAACCTTAAAGTGTCGATTTTCTAGGTATGAAGTAAGCAAACCGATTAGAGGTGGTTTGATACCCAGTCTTTTGAGCTTATTGATAAGACACAAGCGGTTAACTTTATCAAAAGCTTTTGAGAAGTCAAGGTATATGATATCAACCTTTCCCTTGCGATCGAGGATGCTTGTCCATCTGTTCACCGCAGTCAGCAGGTTGGTTATACAAGAGTAACCCTTCCTGAAACCATGCTGTTGGGGTGAGAAGTTTAAGGACAGTAGATGGTCGTTTAAACCATCGCATATCAGGGACTCCATGAGTTTTGAAGGTAATGACAGAAGAGCCACAGGCCAATAACTTGAAGGTTCATTGCGTCGACCCCCTTTGAAAATTGGTGTGATGTGAGCCAACTTCCAATTTTCCGGTAATTTGCCTTGGCTTAGCGAGTGTGAAAACATCACGCTAAGCGGCGTTGCCAGGATTGAGGCTGCCTCCTTCAGTATGGCAGAATGAACCATATCCGGGCCAGGAGAAGTATCTAGTCTTAAGTGCTGCAGTTTCCGGAACACCAAGTCAGCGCTTAGGTCCACTTCGGAAAGCCCTGTGGAATTACAGGTGAAACTGTCGTCAATAGAGTTGATGTCAGCCGGCTGAAATGTTTGAGAGTAGTGTGCCGCCAGAAGGTTAGCGGCGTCATCATCGTTGTTGGTTGGGCCGTTAAGACCTAGCAGTTGAGAAACGCCTGTTTTGGCTTGACGAAGAGAGGCTGCATAACGGCATAGGCTTCTAGGGTTCGAGGCAAATTAGTCCATAAGCTTTGTCTGGTACTGAAGCCTATTTTCTCTTGTAGCCTTCGTGCATATGTTCCTGATATGTTTATATTACCTGTACGCTGAGTCGTTGTCAGTTCGTTTGTATTCCGCCCAACAGTGCCTTTTGAGGCTTAGCAGGAGAAGGGTACTGTTCTTGATTATTGTAGGTGGCTTACAGCTTTTGGGAACCGTTTGAGGAACTAAATGGTTTGTAGCACGTAAGAGCGTGTGCAGTAAGAAGTTCCAATGACCGTCCACATCGAGTTGGGAGTGAACATTCCAAACCACCTGTTGTAAATAGTCGTGTAGAGCTGGCACATTCATCCGTTTAAGATTCCAACGCAAGTTATTGTTGGGATACCTTAGCTTAGTTTTGGTGACAAAACTGAAGGCTATGACGGCATGATCGCTCTTTCCCAGAGGAGCCAAGTTTGAGAGGTTGTCAACTAGAACTTTTACGTTTGTGAATACACAGTCTAACCGCGATGGTGTCTGACTGTTTCTCCAACGAGTTGCCGACCTCACATTTTCATATAAGCCCAAGTCATCGATGAGGTTGAAAAACCGAGCTTCAATTGAGTTGTCACCTCCAGTATACGTGTGTTCCTCGAAGTTGACTCTAGGAAGGTTAAAGTCCCCTAGAATCAGGATATGTGTGAAACCGAGACGAGTAGAGTGGGATAGTCCTTCCAGCATACGACTATCGTACTCGATGTCAGCAGTTGGCTTCCTGTAAATGAATCCGACTAGACACCTCGAAGTACTTGACAATCTTACAGAGCACCATATAGATTCCTCAAGATTGTTACACTCGAGGTTGTGAACTTGATGCACCTCCAAGCAAGAAAGTATGTAAACAGCTACTCCGCCCCCATATCCTGATTTTTTGTCATTGCGGAACAAAGACATCCCAGGTAGCGGTAAAACGTCCGCAAAGTCAACAGCTCTGTAAGTCTTCGATATTTGATTCTGGCCTCATTAGTTTTACTGGACTACACCAGATCTCGAGTATGTACTCCATTCTACGTATCCCTTCCAACTACTGGCCAGTTTAGACCAAACACTCCTTCGACAGACCGATAGACTCCCGAATCCATCTCCCACAACCGCTAGCTTGCTTGGATCACTCACTTCTTGATATATCGACAGTCTATTAAATATATATTCAAACTCATCCATTTGTCTTTTGATTTCGCTGTGTTCTTAAACTTTGATTATAAGGGTGTCACTTGTTAAGGTGCAGTCAAACTCCGAATACTTATGGCATCTTCAGTGGTGGGATCGACATGATCTGGTACACCAATTTGTAAACTGTGGGTCATTACAAATCACTTTTTTACTTAAATTTTCAAACATTGTGATATGTTTTCGTATTTTCGGATCGTTTTTCCCGTTCATTCCTATTGAAGATGATACAGGTATTCAGTGTTTGACAACGCTTCTACCAGTAACACCTTCTAATATAATTCGTTCCTACCCAGATAAATCAAAAGACAGAGTCGAGGAGATCGGAAGAGTGTATTTGGCGATTACCAATGTATCGGAATTCTCTGATCTAATCTGGCTAGCGATTGCATTGGATGTTGAGCACAGCGTTACCACACGTGATCTGGTGCGGACGCATGACCGAGCGCCTTCAGCTAGATGAGTCCAATAAAACATATGGTCAGCATCCAATGTCGAAAACTTACAGAGCTATTTATTTTGGGGATTTATTTACCGCTACAGATCACTCCCCCCTAGTGGGGCAGTGATGACCCTAAGACGTGACCAGCCAGAAGTTTAAACCCAAAGAGTCCGTCGTTGGTAAACATTCTTCTGATAGTTTACTAAATTTAGCAGCGTCTGGTCGTCTTTCATTACTATATGATACCGAGGTACAACATAGTAAAAAAAGAAAAGTACAATGAACATTTTCGATTCCTCGTAAACTGCATCGTTCTTTTCCAGCCGTCCTGGAAAAGGAAAAAGGAAATGTAAGTGCATGTCGAAATACACTCGTATGTACGTAAAAACGCAATGTCTGCGAAAAAAAGGAAAATAAACTCAAGCACACGTAATGGCGTTAAAAAAATTGATTTTTTTGTTTTGTTTTTTTTGTAAATAAAAATATAAATATATGAGCATATTAAAATGGAAGATCGAGATAATATAAAATGTTGAGTAGTGTCTTACGTACAATAGTCGTTTAAATGTTCTGGAAATCTTACTCTTCTCCCAGAACGTGTCGTTTTAAGTTTATTTTCAGACACATTCGGAGCGTCATCGCTAGTGTTGGTTGTTGGTTGAGGAATTATGAGTGTGAGTGTCGTGTTGTACGATTGTACTGAAGGAGAATCGACGTGAATAGGATTTCCTCCTAAATACGCTGCTTTTAAGCGATCAATGCTGATGCTATCGTTGGTTCCGTTCTTATCGATTATATAGTACTTCGGTTTGCGTTGAAGAACATTGAAAGGTTCTTCGTATGCTGATTCGAATGGTCATCGATGTGCGTCTCGGCGAACGAAAACGTGTGTACTAAATTGTAAGTCAGGTTGAACGAAAACATCGGTTGATTGTGGTCGAGTGGAAGCAGGTTTAACTGAACGCATTGCGTTTGTAAGCCTGTTCGTGTAGGAGGTTAGATCCATGTTCATTGAAGAGGATGAAGGATCGAGGAATTCTCCTGGAAGTCGAAGTGTCGTTCCATAAACGAGTTGAGCTGCAGTGTATCCAATGTCAGCTTTCACTGCATTACGGATACCTAGTAAGATGAGTGGAAGAGCGTCGGTCCACTGTGAAACGTTTGCAGCTGATAGTGAAGCTTTTAATTGTCGGTGAAAACGTTCTACTAACCCGTTTGCTTGTGGGTGGTAGGCGGTCGTTCGGAAGCGAGTGATTCCTAATAGTGTGGTCAGACGACGGAAAAGTTCGGATTCGAACTGACGTACGCGGTCTATAGTTATGGTTGAAGGACAACCGAAGTTTGTTACCCATCGTTCGACGAAGGTGCGAGCCACTATTTTAGCAGTGATGTCCTTGATAGGTACTGCTTCTGACCATCGAGTCGAAACGTGCGTCAGGAGTTTTAAATGAGCCTAAGGGACATTTATTGTGTCTGATGACCT